GGTAGGAATAGTCGAACCGGAGGAGGGAGAGAGAGGGGGGAAAGGCGGAAAGACGGAAGGGAAGAATGGAGAAGAACCCACCGCTTTGGCCTCAGGCATGGAATGGGCGGTCAGTCAGGAGGTCAACTGATCTATTGCCTGTCACCTCAATATGATTCCCACTCACTATCCTCACTATCGCTTGTCTAGCGATCTACCATCGATTGTTCGTCTCGCGTTCAGACCACTGCGCTCCTTTTCACTACCAATTATTGCTGCTACTTCTGCTGCTGGCCACGGTTGGCGTCTCCCAGCTGGTTGGATCCCATGGTTGCCATTGCTGGGGGCTCCGCATGTTGTCCCCCCTAAACCGGCCGTAAAATAAACAATGCCCGTTGTTGGTTCCATGGTTCCGTCCACGTAGACTGACAATCACATCCCAATTTCATTCTCACAATGAGAGTACCCTGGCAAGGAATCGCTAAGACAGTAACAACTAATACTAAAACGGGAGAAAACAAACAAAACACCCGGGGTATATGACACGACTGCGCTCAAAACTATCATTACCGCAGCCAAAATAAATATCTTTTCATCCTCACTCCACCACCTTCAACAACCACCCCCAATCCCAGTGGTCTTCTCCCCTCCGCGCCATTTCCCGGATTTGCGGGAGAATTTGGTGATACAGTCTTTCGCTTTGTTTACGCACTTCTCTCTCCCCGCGTTGACCGATGCCATCGTGGTAGAACTCACAGATTCGATGGTAGCGGTCCGGACCTAGATGCATCTTGTGAGCATGTCGCGATGCACCTTCCTTCCTGCCAAGCAGACGAGCTTGAAACTTACCCTGGAATCGTTGCAAACCCTCCACAAGAGCGTAGCCCTCTTCATCTGTCCAAGCCTGTGCCGGAGTGGTCGGCTTCGTCGGCTTAGACTGGCCCTGCTTAGCAGTTTTTGTCGGCACCTTCGCATGCCTATCAACCTCCACATCTTTCCGTCGGTGGCCCTTTTGCAGGCGCCCGTTTTCAAGCGATTCAAGGAGTCGCTTCAGGGGCAGACGCAAGCCCGGGCTGACGGCCCGGTACGCCACATATTTTCCCCGAACAAGACCACCAATCTGATTGCATCGCCCTAGCAGTACTCTCATGGCATGCTGAAAATGGCCGTATGCTTCCGGGAAGAGTCGATGATCCACGTAGTAAGCTTCAAAACAGACGAGAACAAGCCTCACTAACAGCGGGAAGATTTGGATCTCGAATTCTTCCACCAATGTCCTACCTCCGACCTCATCCCCTTGAGTCGAAAGCGTGTAAGCCTTCTCCAGGTGACGGCGTCCTTGTTTGTCAACCGCGTCAAGCGTCGCGCTGCAGTTGCGCACGTCATACTCTGGAGGTCCAATATCAGATACCAGGTACTCGATAATACCTTTGTAGACCTGAATTAGGGAAGATATTTTATGCTTTAGAGGCTCAAAATCAAAATCAACTTTTTCGTCATTGGAAGCTATGTTCCGAGGGCACATGCTCTGGACAAGCTTTTTCCAATTGGAGCCCTGGCCATCAAGTTCATAGGCTTCCTTGAACCACGCGCTATCTTCCGGGCGTTCAGCCCCATGACTCTGCTGATCCGGGTTCTCTTGGGTAGGTCCATCCTGGGTGGCAGACCTGGCTATGGCTCCCTGGGAAGCAAATTCCGTAGCATGTTGTTCCCCACGGTGGTTAGCGTCACGGGAGGGCTGGGGATTATCGGCGGGACTCTCTCTGGGAACAAAGGAGCTGGTCTGCTGACGAGCAGTGGAGGTTGGGTGTTCGGGCTGTATGTTATTTTCTCCGGCCGTACCCTGTGAGCTCGTAGTCGAGTGTCTCCGTTTCGTGGATTGCCGTGGTGGGTCTGAGGACCGCGGACTTGCTTCCGCAGAATGATGCTGAAGGTCATCCTCGGATGAGCTAGGTTCAGGCGAAGGCACCGATGATGAGGATGCCTCTGATGGTTGGTATGGTGGGTCTTCGTCCTGTGTGGTGCTGACAATATTGGCTTCTTGGTTTGGTGTTCGCGTTTCATTATCCCTCGATGGTCCACCCGCTTGGTGGTCCACCGTTTTTGAGATATTAGATGATAAAGGCGTTGTTGTACTTATCTCAACCGCAATTGTGGAAAATCGCTGTGTCGATGAAGCATCACTGCGGCTGGAGTCTCGCCTATCGGCCGGCTGTTCGGGTGCATCTCTCCACGGATTGTTGCTCGTATCTTCATTTGTTTCTACCAATGTTGGTTCTGAAGCTATGTCGCTGCCAGACAGTGTCTTGGGTTTACGACCAGGAGTCTCCTGGCTGGAAGATGGTGATGGGGTAGGCTGGCCGGTAGACTGCTGGGCGTCTCCATCATTATTTGAGAAAAGTTCCACTTCTGATGCCAGATCTTCGCCATCAAGCATCTCTTCGTCACTCTTGGACGATATATGACCGCCTTCATTATCACGTTCAGCGTCGCTTAACGAGTAATCTTCGGCTGGAGTCTCAGCACTTGGGCGTGGGGAAATTATATGAGTGTCATCCCCGAAACCCTCTTCTGCCTTTTCTAAAGACTGCACCTCACTTGGCTCATCTGACTGATCGCCAGACTCGTGCTCGGATTCTGGGCTTTTGGGAGGCTGCAATATTTGATCGCTCCCATCCCGAGTGGATTCATCAGGCACGGGTTCCGAGAACCTTAATGACCGACGGGGAGTGACTTCGATGGGGTGGGCATGTCTTGGCCTTTGGGGGACAGTTTGAGAAACCGGACCAAATCCATCAATCATATCTGTAGCATCTCTCCTGACAGAGTACGTGAGCCGACGCGAGGGATGCGGGGTGGCGGGACCGGGTCGATTCGCCCGGGACGCAGTCCTCTGCGTGTTAGTATCCATGAGGCCATTCAAAAGGTCGACCGCCTGAAGGGTGGAATCGCGCTTCTTCCTCCGCTGCACAGGACGCGGCGAGTCCGACATATTGAACATCCATGAAATGCAGAGACAACAGCAAAGCAAAGCAAAGCATACCAGCCCCCCTGGAAATCAATAACTGGACCTAAGTGGACCTGTCAAGCCCGTCGGGGATCAGGGACGGCGGCGAAGGAGCTGGTTGGTGGGAAGCTTGGATCGCGAGGTGCTTCCCGTGATCGGCGGGCGTCATCACTTGGCCGCCTTATCGATAAGGCCCCGCCCCCCTGCCAGATTGCGAGCCAACCTTCCTCCATCCTCCCCCCCCACCATCCTTCATTCCCCTTTTCTCTCCACCTACTTCCACACTCGTTTGGATACCATCTATCCAATTCATTTCCCCCGCGCTTAGCTACATCATGGCCGCGGACCTCCCTTCAGTCCGTGTGTTGCCCACCCTCGACCCCGCGGTGGGGCACACATTCGCCCAGCCCACCAAACGCATCCACGAGCACAGCGATGTCTCCGAATTCTTGTGTTCTAAAGCTTATGTGGACATCATGACATTCCTCCTCCAGCTTAACCGGTCAATGTTTCCAGCTAAGCTTGAGGATGGACGCGTTCAGACTTGGCCCTTGAATTCTGATGCTGTGGAGTACTCCGCGCCGGTTCGCCAACTCCAGCAGCTGCTCTCCAAGCTAGAAGCTATTCTCGAGGAAGCTCCCCCCGATAAGGGCCCCCGTAGATTCGGAAACATCAGCTTTCGGAGGTGGTACGAGATTGTTGAAAGCCGTGTTTCCAGCCTCCTCGAGGAGTGTCTCTCTCCGGAGATCCTCAATCGCAAGTCAGCGGACCCCGAGGGGCCTACGGCGGCAGTAGAGCTCAAGGCATACTTTCTGGGAAGCTGGGGAAGCCCTCAACGTCTAGACTATGGTACTGGCCATGAACTGAGCTTCCTGGCCTTCCTGGCTGGGCTCTGGAAGTTGCATGGATTTCCACAGAGCACTCCTGGTGTCGAAGAGAGAGCCATTGTTTTGGGTGTCATTCAGCCGTGGGTATATCGCTAGTCTCTGATTGAACGACACTGATTATTGCTAGATACCTTGAGCTAGTGCGATCAATTATCAAAACCTATACCTTGGAACCCGCCGGTTCCCACGGCGTGTGGGGACTCGATGATCACTCTTTCATTCCCTATATCTTCGGCTCAGCGCAGTTTGCTCCAGCTATATCGGAGACGGATCGAGTCCCAGAAGAAGGTTCTTTGCCCGATGCACCTGACCCGACCGGTGTTGCCAAGGTGAACGTGGTGGAACGGGAACGTCGTGGAAACCTCTACTTTTCTGCCATCGGCTTTATCTACGACGTCAAGAAGGGCCCGTTCTGGGAGCATAGTCCAATGCTCTACGATATTTCTGGCATCAAGACCGGCTGGGCCAAGATTAACAAGGTATTTGCGTGCAGGTGGAGCTGTACATTCATACACTAACTCGCGACAGGGGATGATTAAGATGTACAACGCCGAAGTGCTGTCCAAGTTTCCCGTGGTACAGCACTTCCCGTTCGGCTCTCTGTTCAGCTGGGACCGCGATCCAAACGCCATACCTCAGCCCTCTACCGTCCACACGTCTTCCGCGCCACAACCTCGACAAACCGAAGCTCCCCAGGCATCTGGTCCAGGAACTAAAGCCCCATGGGCTACATCTCAAGCTGTCCCTCCAGCCAGCGGAACTGCCGCACCCTGGGCAACAGCACGAGGTCCGGCTAGAGGACCAACTCTGCCCGACACGTCCCGGCTACCGCCCGGCCCGATGGCCCCGACGAGGGCCCCATGGGCAAATGCAGCCCCAGGGCCGGCTCCTGGTGCTGCCGACCCTCAAGGGGACGTAACGACCAAGGCACCCTGGGCTAAGTAACCGCTACTTCTGCTTGATCGAGCATTTCCTGTACTTATACCCTTGCATGATATCATTTGCATACATAAGTGAATCGTAAAAAGTTGACATGCCGTTTATACCATAACTCCAAACCCGGGGTATCATCGTTTTTGAAACCAACGCAACGCCTCGTAGAGATGCAAGAACCATCAGACACACATTCACTCCGAATCCGACGCATAGTTCACCAACGCAAGGTTCGGGCGGGGTGTCTCTCCCACCTCCCCAGCACTCTTCTCCATCTCCGAGCCATTCTCAGCACTCTCCTTCCCATCAGCCTTACTCCCAGAGACAACCTTCCTCCTCTTAACCTCAGGCCTCCACGCATCGGAATCACCACTCAAAAACGGATCCACCGCAGCCCTCGTATTCCCCCTCAACTCACTCCGAAACGCAGCCTTCCGATCCTCGAGCACCTCCTTAGCCTTCATCCTCTTCCCCTCCTTCTTCCCCCCACCAGCCCGCACCTCTTCCACCCCAAACAACGGCTTCATCCTCGCCCTCCGTCCATCCGCCGCACCCTCCCCAAAATCCACCAACCCGGCCCTAACCCGATCACTCTCAATCTCATCAACAACCTCAATCCCCAAACTCAACTTATCCTTCAACTTCTCCCTCTCCTCCTCCTTCCTCTCCAACCCCTTCCTCTCCGCCCGAAAAACCTTCCTAATCCTGCGACTCTTCTCATACGGATCCTCCCAATCCCTTTTCTGTCTCTCCTGCAACTCCAAGATCCGATCCCGTTCCTCATCCCCGCGCTTCTTATCCACCACCTTCCCCTCTAACCTCTCCAACGCATCCATCTTCCCCTTACTATCCACCCCAGTAACTATCTCCCCCACCTTCCTCCCCTCCTCATCAACCCCATAATCCCTCCTCCTCGCACCGGAAATGACCACATACTCCGTGTTCTTCGGGTCCGTGTGTATCTCGATCCACCCGCCACAAGCCCCGTGCTTCATTCGGAAACTGTATACCGGTGTGCTGTAGTAATTCCCGATTTTCTTTTTCTCGGCGTTGAAGCGGACTCCTTGTCCGATGATGGTCTCGTGCGGTTGGCATGTCGTGCACCAGATCGCGAACGGCATCTCGAAGCGCACGGTTAGGGCGCCGGTGGATTGTAAGTTGCGGGCGCGTGAGCCGAGGGGGTGTTTGTTGTGCAGCTTGTTGCCTGTCGTGAGGCCTTCTAGGTCTGGGGGGACGTAGCGTCCCATATCTGGGGTTTGTTAGTGGGTGATGTGGATGGTAAGGGGAGGGGGTGTATAGGACGTACTGAAGCCTTGCATGGTGGGCGGGTGGGTGTGTAGGATGTAGTATGTGGTGGTAGGGAGGGTATAGGTATAGAGATAGTGCTCGGCGAGCCAGCGCGGCGGCGGTGGTTTGGGGCGTTGGACGTGACGATAAGGTTGATGCGATGCGATGCGCATGCGATGCCGCTGCCTTCTTCCGAGGTGGTGTTGTGCTGATGAGTCAGCTGCATATTATGTGAGCATAACTTGCTCCGTCTCAACGTCATTTCTCGGGTTTGAGCACCGAAGAATGATGGCTCACAAGAATAGTCAGAGTGAGAGATATTGAGTAATAAGCTGGAACTACAGCTTGATTAAAACTGGTTTGTCCAGACTACACTAATACTAATAGTACAGTATCTGTGTCCAAATTCATCAGTACACCCTTGCTATCTTGCAGGCTTTGGAATTTATGTTATTAGTACTCAAGATAGTACCCATGACTCGCAAACGATCAATCAAATCATATAATTTTTTGAATGTAGCTAGTATTAAGACAGAAAAGTAACCCACGCTCAACGCCGACTTGATATCGCCACCTGAGAAACGTCTCCAGACCCACCGGACATCTTCTCTTATACAGAGATCAAATTCCTCAACCCTGCCAACCTTCAACACTATGATTCCAAAGCTGAATAGAGAAAGTCGGGGATGCGGGAGGCTTGAGGAGGCCAGCGCCGTACAAGATTCCCTCCTCCCAATTGCGCGGCGCGACTACTTCGGTGGGCATAAACCAGTTCACGAAAAACCTAGGCGGACTTGGTCAACTTGAGGGAATTGTTTAGGAGTACACTGGTATAACTTACAGGGTAGATGATTCGGGAACCCAGACCAGATCTTCACAGGTACGAGGAAAAGGAAGCCATCCCCAGCTAGCCATCTTTCTTGAGAGAGCAGTTAGTGATTGTCTTTGGGTTATCTAACAACTAATCGGATGGTAGTCAGGCATATGGAGGTCAGCTTACAGGTAGTTCTCCTTGAAGGAATTGCGAATTTGGTCACGGACACAGTACTCCATCGACCAGAAGATATCATCACTCTCTTCGTCTCCCAAGCGAATACCTGAGATCACCTCTGAGACCACCCAGACTATGAAACCCCCAGGCACTAGGCTATCGGCATCTTGTTTTCCCTCCAAGCTGTCCAGGAGTTTAGGGGTAAAGGTCGAAACCTTAAGCATGAGCTGGCGGTATGCTCTGAGCTCACGGGGAACCCAAACTTTCGCTTGCTTGGCTCGTACTTCGGGGCGGTCGCCGACTGTCTCCTCTGTAGGGATCTGCTTGTAGATCCTCATGTTTCCGTAAACTGGCGGCTTAGAGCCCACTTGTCGTACCTTCAGCAAGATGCAGGCATATGGACGACATTGCTTGGCAGTTCTTTGCTCGCTGCCCTGCATAACTACCTCCTCTTCGTGACTCAGAATGCGCCATCGCTTTGCCATCTCAACGACGACGCTTGGGCTGAACTCCTCCCGACCAAACCAGCGAGGAGACATGATTGTCACTATGGATGATCATGTTTCCGCACTAAAAGGGATAGTAAAGGTATACTGGTAGCTGTGAGAATAACAGGCTGGGTTTTATGGTTTGTAGTCGTCATCATTACATGCCCAGGCGCGAACTACAGGGAAGAACAAGCGAAACAGCAAAATGCAAGCAATACGAAGAAAACGAATGGAGCAATAGAGTTGTTGTATTGACTATATATAGCACGCAGCGAAACGAGCGCGATGAGGTGCTTTGTTGTGGCGGGCTGAGCGCCAACCATGTGACCAAGCTTAAACGACTTGTCTCAACATTACATTGTATGTCGCCACTTGAAGCTGTGTGGACCACGAGTGATATTCAAGTCTTCTGTATAGGTTGATCCTGTTAATAATGTGCCTCGTGGCTCAACTTGTGGCTTCATGAGCAGCGCAATGAGGGATCGGCGCGCTAAGCCCCGCCTCCGCCCTCTCTCCAGCCCGAAAGAGTAAACGACAAGGCTGACAGGCGCTTCACGAGAGAATATGAAGGCCCGCCTCCCACTCCACTTCTTTGATTCAAATACACTGCTAGAATGGCAGGTTCCATCCAGAACATAGTGGCAACTCCGCTACATGCTGTTGCCGAGTCGAACATTGCTCTTGCCCATGTGAACTTTGATTTCTCACTGGTCAAAGTCGAGGCGCCTGCCGAACTTCAACCCGTGGGAAGACAGCTTTCTCAAGCCCGGCGACAGTCTGCGGAAGACGGTTCATTTCACATTCTGGCTCGGCGCCTAGGTGTGCTATTTGATGATGTTCTGCCGGAGGTACCACTATTATTGGAGGCGTATGGGACACGTGCTAGTGAAATAGCCCAAGAGACTTCCCAGAAATTACACCAACCGAGAAACATCGTGGATGGATTCTTTGGAACCCATCTAGGGGCATTGATAGCACGACAATATGGGCTAGTGCAACTAGTGGCAGGTCGGTGCTTCGCATTCATCTTCTCGCATGTTTTTTGGCCCGCATCTGGACTCATCAGGAAGCAACGGGGGTTTGGAAGGATATTGTAGAACATCGCCAGGCAATGATTAGAAGACAAGCTCAATCATCTGAAATTATGGATAACTACTTGGCGCAACTAGCTGCCGCCCATGAAATCGATGAAGCGCTATTAGCAAGCTGGGATTCCAGTGCTCGAGCCTGGTTACAAATCGCAGACCAAGCGAAGAAGAAAGAGCAGATCCAGGTGCAGTTAATTGTCAACAACCGTTCAGTGGCAGTAAAGGACCAAGAAAATTCCGATGACCAGCCATCTCCAAAGCCAAACAGCTATGACAGTGTTATGTCTAACTTTAACCGCGCCTTGACTGCGATGGAAAGCTTGATCAAGGGGGAGCCACAAAGAATAACAGACGCGGGAATCATGCTCGGCTTAACCTCGTGGCATCTCTATCCGGATTTGGTAGTACTTACATCAAGTACAAAGGAGATATCCCAGAAAGATCGACTGGTGAAGGAAGGCGGAATCGTCACTATTGCAATCGCCCCTGAAACTGGCCCGCGTGCAGATGGAGTATATTGGTCTTTGCCACTGGCGAGTCTTCGTTACTACGGCACTGTTAGACGAGAACGATCGACTATGCATGACTCCAGAATCTCAGTGGAGCAACTACAGGCCTTAGCACTTGGTGCTTCTTTGGGCTCCTATGACAATGCAGTTTCTGCTGCAAAATTCATAGGGTCACTCTGGAGGCTCTTTCATTATATATACCAACTCAAATTGCATCAGATTGCCGAGAAACCACTGGAGCTTCCCGAGGACTTATCACGGTATAGTGTGGTTGACCTTATCGACGATCGGGAGTCGCTTGAGTCAATCATGAAACTGCTACAACTGATGTTCCCCCTCAGAGATGGCATTGAATTGCTGCTCTCGGATGATTCTGGAGAGAGACAGATCGCAATGCAACTCTTGCGATACGGCACCAACTATGGAAGATCCTGGCTTGGAAACGATGCAAGCTCATTGTCGGTGTTCCTTTGTCTAACCAATCTGCAAGCCCTGCTCGGAATGATTCGATACTCTGGTGGACGAATCAATATTCTTCGCACGCTATGCTCCAAGTATCAGCTCAAACCGTCTGAATATGTGATTCGCTTCCGAACTCGGCACAACTCGTGGGCATTCTCGCCTATATTACACAACCATCCAGTAGGTGTTCATGGTGGCATGAAAAGGAAGCGAGATGAATATGAGACATCAGATGCAGACATTATTGAGTGCGTCGAAGTCCCACCAGGAGAGGACTGGATTTGCATTGCTACGCCAGCGACATCGAGGGAACATGCTGTTCCAACCAGCGCACCTGGTGCCTTCGAAGACATATTTGCAGAGCTTATGGAAGATAGTCCGCAGACCAGAGAATCTGTTCTATTTGACTTTGTGTTTGGGGATCATAACCTCGCAGCCGTTTACAGAAGGCGAACCATCCAGTCACCACCCAGTAATAAGCCACTTCCGAACACAGTTCCACTGTCAATGGTCCAAGATCTGCTTGATAGAAATGCTTTGATGCCCGAGAAAGTGGCCGAATATATATTGGACCGGTTCGGGTCGACACAAGCTCTTCATGAGAACTCACTTCTCGCTCTTGGACGGGTAATAGACTACTACAAACACTACTTGCCTCAGGCTACGGTATCTATGAGCGTCATAAAGAGCCCTATGACCTCGTGGAAATGGGTCCCATCATTGTTGCACCCGCTTGATCTATCAGCCTCTCTCGCCACGCAGCAAGCTCGCGAAGGATCTATTCCTAGCTCCGTTTATTTAAGTCTACTATCTCGAGAACATGCATTTGCAGCTATCCTCCAGTTTGAGTCCGGTACAATCAGTCTGGATACCCCAGACCTTGAAGCGGTGTTTGCAATTTCCAGTGGCAACTCCCTTTTCATTGCCAAGCAACTACTATACGATCCTACTCCAGCAGATAGATTCGCGCCCTATGCCGTTTCTCATGCCATCGGAAACGTGGGGAAGCCGGGCATTGCTCTTCTTGTTTCCCCGCCCGAACTGGAGATACGAGAACACACGCTTGAGCGGTGGCGCCTTGTCAACCATCATCCATTTGATGGAAACCCAGTGGGTGGAAGGTTTGACGGTACATCGTTGCATTTGTCATTTACTGGATGGGATGGGCCTGTGAGCTTGGATTCTACCAGCTACAGAACCATGGAAGCCTACTATCTTCAAACAACCATCTCCGTCAATGATGGCGGGGAGTGGGTGGGAGATGTGGATATTCTCAAAGGACTGACTGATGTTCAGTTCCCAGCGTATCCTTCTTTCTCAAGAGGATTATGCAATCACGATTCTAGCTTCCAGACAGCCCTATTAAAATCGGCTGGAATGGTATCTATCGATTGTTGGGAGGAGATTCTAGATCCCCCTGAAGGTGTTCTCGTGCTCCGTTCGACACCGGTAACGTCTAATGATTCTAGAAATTGGCAATGGATGGTTCGATTAGCTGCAATAAGCATGGCATCTTCCAAGGGATACAAATGCTTCTGTTTACCTCTAGATAGAGACATTTGCTGGACCTGTATTGTTGGACAGATAGGTACCGACGGAGGAAAGCAACTTGTCGTGTGCTAAGTATGAATCAGTACTCTGCGATCTTGCTATCAATTTTGGAGTTCAATGGAATGAGCTCAACACCTTTCCGGCATGACCGCTAGTTATCAAGGGTAGTCGTAGACCCTAACGGCCTCGTGTTATTTGCTATTATCGAACAATGGCCAAATGAATAAGTCATATTAACCAATATGTAGTACATTTACAGGAGATGTGCGACACTGGTCAATGGAAGTGCATTATCGAATGAGCACAAGCAACTCAACATGGTAATGAAACATATCAATCAGACTCTGCTTATAGACAAGTGTGGAGAACTTCGGACAGTCCTGTGTCAAACATCAAGAACGGCAAACCAGCAAACACCATACAAACGATGCTGAAAAAGATGCGTATAATAGCCCAAGTAATACAAATAACAACACCAAAAGCCAATGAATTGTCGAAAAGAATACCAGAGTGACGAACTTAATTCGCTGGCTCCCGGAACCAGACACCACTTATTCAACCGATCGCTCGACCAATTCATGACTCGATATCATAGAATGCAGATCGATGTGCGGAGCAGCCAAAACCTCTCAGCCCTATCAACCATGTCAGCATGCGGTCGCAATACAATATAGCCTAATCGCACTCACCCTTTGGAAAAGTAAGTTTATCAACCAAAATAATTACGCTCACCACTACCAACCACAACATTTTCCGGCGAGTAACCGAAAAATGAATCCAAACCGGACCTGCCACCCGTGGCGCCACCCTTACTCGCATTTCCTCCATTCGCCGAGATATCACCGGTCCGGGTAGTCTTGTTCCCATTGTTATTGTAGTGGTAGGCGGTCGCAGTATCGGTCCATGTTGTCACATTCCTACTGCTGTTGTAGTTGGTGGTCGTATTACCGCAGTTCTCCGACGTCGTGTTGCCACAGTTTGTCGAGGTGGTATTTCCGGTGTTGTTGTTCCAAGAGAAGCTGTTGTGGCTTCCACCGTAGGGGAAGCCGCCGCTCCAGGCCCATGGGTTTGGAGTGTCATATTTGCCTCGCTTCCAGCTTCTGTGACACATGATGTGCTGAGGGATCTGAGTATTGGGATTGGGATAAATCAATTTAGTGTTCAAGTAAGCAAGAAGTAGTAAGTGAGAGAGAGGGTGAGCTTTATTTGAAGAATGATCAATGCCTGCCATCCGTGTGTTTTGGCTTGATTTACAACCATATATCTCATTACATCATTGCAAAGGCCTGGCTGCACAGGTACCTGAGTGGCTACTTTGGTGGCAAGGAGCTGAGGAGTTGGGTACGAGGCGTTCAGGTAACTCCGAAGTAGGGGCGCAGATGCCGCAGGGAATTCGGCGTGCTGTATGCACAGCCACAACGAATGTATCCTGGGAGAACAGAAATCGTACCAAATGATGCAATAGCAGTTCGGAAATGAACTGCACTGCCCTGCACTTTGAGCTTGATTTGGCCCTAAACTTATTAAGTCTTATGGCAGTGCCGCAAAGCACACGAACCTCTCAAGTATAGTGCAATTGACGAATTAGAACAATGGCCGTGTATCTATGACTGAAAGAAACCTATTCCTTCGTTGCTCTCTTTTGATTACACACTTTCCGTCTACAGCAAGTCTGATGAAGCCAAGGCACATCGTAGCAAAGGCGAACTGGTCCCCATTGACAAGGCTGTGCTGGCTAGCCGCATATTTCGAGTCATGCCCTGTTGATCCCTACCGAATGGGCAAAAGGACCATTTAGCTAATATGCGTCTATATGTGGGCTACGACAGATTTGAAGGCTTGGGTAGTGTTGCATGTCATAACACCAATATGGCGGTGGAAGTGGATCGGATATGTCTGTCCGACACGCCGATCGCTGGGACGATTGGACAACTCCTATTCCACGGCCACCCCGTAGACACATTCTAAACATGTATGCACTAAACATTGCTGCTCGAAAGCTGTCCAACAATGCCCGCAATCTCTCACTAAATTAGGACAAGCTCTTCGATCTGGCCAGGTATACCCCGCGGAGAAGGGTATAAAAATACGAATTGAATTGAATTGAATTGGATTGAAACCCCGCGGAGAAAGATGACAAAATAGAAGAATAAAAAATAACTTAGACTAGTTGGGCGATTGCCTCTTCATTTCGGTCGAGCTTCAAATTCTTCAAATTATCTAGTAGCCCTTGAGCCATATCGAGTCGAGCCACAGGGTCTTATTATCCACCCGCTCTCTATATTAACTCGCTCTTCACTCTCACCTACTTTGCCTCTTTCGCTTAAGCAATTAGAATGCCAATCAGACCGGGTATTTCGTCAGACGTTTCCATCATGTGCAGACTTCGGACAATGTCAAAGGTGGAGGTGGTGGCACGTTTGAACTCTGAGTACCCTCACCAGTCAAGGAACCGTGTGGCGAAGCGTGAAAAACACGGGATTCGTATAGCTGCATCTATCTCTGATCCAGGTTCTGGTGGTTATGACAAAATCACATATCAATATTGTGAAGTAAATTCGTGAGAGTGCGACAAAAGCTAGAGACTAGTGCTTTGTATTGTAGGCTACAATGTTAGCGTAGTGGTAAGTACCTATGGTTATGTATAGATTTTCGTTTCGGGACGCAGAAATCAGCAGTATAGAACGCTGAGGCGAACCAGGCTCGGCTGGTCTACAGCGAGACAGTTGCAAAATTTGCAATGAGCAGACCCCTCATGGCTGCCTGACTTATGTACAGCGGTAAATCCACAGACTTGCATTTAATGCGAACCAAAACTAATAAGAGGATGCAATAACTACAAATATAGCATATTCGTGCAGGATTAGCTGAAAAATTCGGTGACATATGATGTGACAGGTGCTAGCCGGGACTCAGCTGATTCTCAACTCCTGCGTCTGCGGCAGAACAGACAGCGTCTTCCCATTCGCAATATGTGACCTCCTATCAGATGTCGTCATCAACATCGGGGAGCTGCTAACCCCGAGGGTGATTGCAATGTCCCCGAGTAAATTGAAGTGTTACTTTGACGGGTGATCGTTACTGTACGTGTGGCTAAGCTGACACCTCCTGGTCCTCCTTCACTTTTCAGACAGGATTTACTCGCTTCCGTCATGTCCCCTCCCAAATTCCCCTGGGCAAAAGCTGAATCGCGCATAAGCATAGGCCTCCCCGCTCGAAACTAAATTAAGAAATGTGTGGTTCAGTGTTAAAAAAAATGGAATATTAAAGTTGGCAACTCTCCCAACATGTGTCAGGGCTGACCTTCTCTCCATTATGGCCTTCCCCGTTTTTCACCAGTTCACATACCACGACACGGACTTATCGTTACGCTTCCACTCCTTCCACTGCTTGTCTGAACTCTTAAATTATGAACTACCGTATGAAAAAGAAGTTTGGAAAGCATCGCTTCAGGAAATGTAAAGCACGAGCAAAACATGGTGGCAGGTGCAAGAAGCTCGCCACGAGCTCCGGTTCCTATTGCCAACATCACAAACACCTTTTGCTGAAAAGTGATGGACATCTCCCACCACGCTTGGTAACTGACAGACTGCAACAGTCTGCCAATGGGTTGGGCACTGGAAGCTCTCTCATAATGGTGCATAATAGAGCACCGGATGGAATGGATATTTCTGGCGATGCCGTTGCGGTCATTCCCATCGAAAAGTCATCTCAAGATGACGCGCCAGTACGGGGCACACCAGAGTTGACCTCCGGACCATCGGATACCTCGCTTGGGGACATATCCCAAGGGCAAGACTTAATAACCGAGGAAGCTAACGGCAACGTGGAATCTGGCGGACACTCTGAGGATCGAGATGATGCCGCCAAAGTATCATACCCCCCAGGGAAGCCTGACTCAACCCCCACAACCGACTTCTCGGAACCAAAGTCTGTACCAGGGAGTAACATCAACCCTGTTTTCAACTCGACCATTACAGAGAACAGCGGGAACACAACAAACACGAATTACGGCAATACTGTGAACAAAAATTGTGGAAACACCACGACGAACAATCGTACCTCGCACAATATCCGTGTGCAGCGCATGGTACGTATACTGTCAACTGGCAATCACCATTTATCAAAGTTACTAGTGTTGACGTCGCGCCCAGATGGCTCGCAAATACCATACTGTCATCACAAACAACTACTCCGGGTTTTCACTGGATAAGGAAACCATCAAGACGCTGGTGCAAACGGCTGCAGCTGAAATGCCGAACATCACGCAACGATACCATGTGCCTGCTGGCAATGAAAAAGCCATGGTAGAACTGGCATTATTCGATATGGTCATTGTCTGTGGTGCGTTGTTGCAGATGGAGATTGATATATGTCCTCCGTTAAACTAACATTCATTTTGCATATTCTAGATAACAGTAACTCCATGTGGATATACTCGGATGCCATGAAGAAGACGTTACGGCATCTTGTGACAGTCTCTTCCCTTCTTTTACCAAAGGGTATCACAATCCGATTTCTCAACACCAACAACGACGGAAAGGATCTGTACGAGAATATCACTGAGGGCTATGAAGTGGACAAGATATTCCAGGATGCCAGATTCCTTGGTATTAAACGGCTCTGGAACGGTCCAGAGCTGGGGGATATTGTCAATCAAGATATTATCCACCCTATGATCTTCAGAAAGGCCCGTGCAGGGGAGCTTAAACGGCCCGTGATTACTATTATGCTGACTGACGCGGACGTTAGTAATCCCGAACACTGAAATTATTCGAAGAGTTTATGGAATTTGAAGCTGACAAAATCCGGACTGAATAAAATTAGATACCTCCCCAAGGTCGGGAAACACTCAAATCAGGCATCCGCTCCTGTAAGAATGCACCTGACTTGGAGAAGTACGGTGACAAAGCAGCGCTCTTTGTCCTCTCTCGAGTGGGCAATAACAAACGAGGGAAGGAATTTGTCAGTCAACTGGAAAAGGACAGTTCAATCAATGATATGCTACACTGTTCTCCGGATAGTTTGGATAAGTGGTTGGCAGACTGTCAGAAGATTGGCAATGAAAACAAGTATACAGGCAAGGTGAGTACATCTGCACCATTTCAAGCCTTCTATGTGTCAGTACTAACTGTGAACAGCTCATTGAGCTTTTTCTTACTGCATTGGACCGCAATGGAGCTGCCTGACTCAAACCCCGTTTACCACATTGATACTACGAGCCGACACTGATACGGTTGTAAATCATATCTCGGACAGTTTTCCTGGATCCTTCAGGTGTGTATAACACTCTTCTTTCCAAGAATCGAAGGTTCTCAGTACCATCTACCAAGTATGGTATTTAAGTTTATCTGAACCGCGATTACAAAGCAATGGAATGAAGCGGGAGAAATGAAAGCATAGTGAGATTGTAGTGAGAGTGTTGTAAGAGACAAGTGAATCAATAATACATAGCAATGTACGGATATTAATACTGCCGATGAACCGAACCTTCCACATTAGGATGGCCAAAGATACATTCATATCTTTCACGTCTAAACCTGATATTCTTCTGAGGATAAAGACCAACCCCAATACCTCAACTTATCTCGCTCTCTCCACCATACCCTGCAACATCGCCACATCCATCGTATACAAATCCGACCCATCATCAGCCAAAAACACCGAAGGTCCTCTGCTAACCATCAAAAGCTCCGTTTCATGCTCAAACGGAAGAGGATCATGCACGGCTCCCTTACTTTCTGAAACGTAATCTCCCTGAACAAATGCGCCAGTTTGAGGGTGTGCACCGCTTCCTTTGAGAACGTAAATCTCCGCACTTTCAACATGCCGATGGCGAGGAAGCAGACCGCCGGGTTCGGCGCGGACCATGATTGTGTATTCTCCGGTCTCTGGGACTAGCTTGACTATCTTGATAAATACACCCGGGGCAAGAGGAAGCCATTCCAAGCTGTCGCAGTGGACTGTGAACCCTGCGTCGTGCTCTGAGTGCATGTTTGGCGATGATCGGCTGTTCACGTTTGTAGGGTGGTGATGTTGGCTTGCTTCGGCTTTGGGATTGTTTAGCTGCTTGTATGTGAGGATTGGGGAGTATTGGATGCGTACATGAAGGTTTTGAATGGGAGTATTGTGTCCAGGTATTCTTTTACAAATTTTCGTTGATTATCTTGAATGTGAGATATAGATTTGGGACGATGGACAAGGTAAAGTGGAGCTAAACTTAATATAGAATAGCCGACTACCCGAGCCACCGGAATCCCGAACGAAAGAAGAAAGACTCCGAGCGCCCGTCGAGACCGTCCGCTGTGATCCCGGCTGACTGATTCCGCCCCGCCCCCCTACCCCCGCAAAAAAGAAGAAATGATAACATTCGTTCATATTTCAAAAGGGTCCATACCACTGCTGAGCCAACCCGCTGGAATCTGGCTATTGAAAAGCTGCCACATCAGCCAGTCGGCCGAGGCATCCAACTCCGAGTTCGGTATCGGTTCATCACTTAGCCCGAAATTGCTATCGAAGGAGGCGCTCGGAGGAATGCCATCCGTAGTGACAGGTGCCATTGCTTGATTCGGGGCGGATGCACGGAGGTTTGATGATATATTTTCTGGACCAGAACCCGCCTCTTGGAACAGCGGCTCGCAGAGATCTTCCAGCGACTGGAGAAGGTTTAAAAGTTTTCCAAGATGTGGATCTTGCTTGAACTGTGACAAACTCTGCGTTATTTGTTGAAGCAGTTTAAAATCGCCATGATCCAAAGTTCCGATGATGTTGCAGATGACCACGAAGAAGGCGCTTAGTGGGTAGAAAAACAAAGTCCTGTTCGATAGTCAATGTCAATAAATGAAATCAAATATGTCCAGGAATATCAGCGAACCATGTAAGAAATGATGGATATGGCTCTTCAAACCCCGGCATTTCCTCCGCATGCTGCTGGATAAAGTGAAATGCTCCAAGTGACTGTCGGGCATGTACGAGACATTCCCTGTGTATTACTGGACTAAATGAGCTTTTCAAGCGTGTTCGGTCGATCTCGACGAAAATCGCGTAGTAGCAGAAGTCGACCGCAACCCAATCATATTGTACCATTTTCGGGAGGGATGCGCGATTCTAAATGAAGCGTTGTTAGGGGTAGAAGCAACTATATGTGGTCCTGGTACACGTACCGACGGCATTTGTCGAAGAATGCTCTGCATCCTGGACTCAAGGAGCTGACAAGTCTCCAAAGCCTGGCTATTCGAAGCATTCTTCGGGTCGGAGGATACTGCATGTAATTTCCCCTGAACCTGTGCGAGGTCAAGAAGGACACGCAAAAGCGTATCATATGGCGAACATGGGTCTAGGACAATGAGATCCGTCGGGGATACCTCGAGATCAGGCAATGACGGAGGGCGACTGAGGAGGGAACTTAACGTCCGATCAAGATAGTAGCACCAGTATACCGCACTATATACCTCTAACTCCGAGTCTGAGCGCGCTGGTACCCTGCGGATCTTGTGGTAATTAAGAGATGCAATCTGTCGAGCAGCATAAGAGGTAAGGACCCAACATTGGTTCAGCCTCCCCAGGTGCTGCATAAGCAATGCCTACGGACACGATGTGAATAAGGCAGTCGTCACCAAAGATGTCTGCGACTCAGGGACTTACACTTGAGAGTAGAGCTTGTATGGATGAGATGTCTGGCTGTTTGAGTATGCTCAGGTTCTCAATGCTCCGAATCGTTGCTGCGATGTAAGTCGACCTAGATTGGGACAGCTGTGTTTTCAGGAGCGGGCTGCGCACGGTTCGTGACACCTGATATATATGAAATATTGCTTTCACATATATGCAAATGCTATACTGATGGAGGAGTTGACCTTGTAGCCGAGGTTCACTTCGTAACAAGGCTGTAGCCATTTCTTCATATGTTTTGCGCGAGATGTGATCCGGCCACTGAATGCACATCGATTCGGGCGGCCCTAATTTCATCAACCATGACCAAGACATAACAATGTAAAAATCTCATACCTTGTAGGAGCATAAACAACAGCTCTCGAGGGGGTGCATCCGGAATCGAAAGGGCGGGATCGTTAGGCTGAAACTCTTCCATGATTTCGTCCGAATGCTGAGGCTCACTCTCTGCAATTTGGTTCACGAGTTGGAGAGCAGAGCGAAGTATGGATTGTCTCCCGCGGTTGACATGCCTTGAGTCATTCAATTCCAGTTGGATTATGTTTTTTGCCTGTATTGCATGATAATTGGGGCCCTCGACGCTAGGTGTCGAGTGCGTAGGCGTGGTTAAGGATCTCTCCCTTGAGTCCAGAACTTGGTCGTTAGGCTGGCTGTGCTCTATAGCGGTACTTCTATTCACGTTTCTTTCCGCTGCCCTACGGCCTGATTGCCGGTTGCTTCTGTAGTTGTTCAGCGCACCGAGCCTAGAAAGACGACTCCGACAAGCTCTCACACTTTACCTTTGTGTCTGTGACGGCTGTTTTTCAAACGTTACTATATTTTCTTGGGGCCTTAGGGTGCTGCCGTTCATTATCAGTTACTTCATATGTATAGATTACTCTTCAGTATGACATGAATGACAGCAAACCTTTGGTTTCTCTTCTTAGCTGGCCGTCCGCGCCGCCGGCGTTCGCATTCCACACCGGCATCTGCGCAATTGGCACAGTGCGCTCGACGATCACACTTTATCTATTACATTGTATTGTTGTCAGATTCAAAATGTGGTTTAAGCCTGGTATTTATGGTATTGCAACCTTCTTCGCATGACATAGGTCACACTGTTTGCTCTGATTAGCGTCCACAGCTTTCCCTGATAATTCCGGCCTATGGGGATGAGCAGAACATACCGCGGGCAGAATATCCCCAGTGTCTGTGAGATCTTCCGGCATTGGCAGCAAACTTTATCGGAAGTTCTGATGTTTTCACGACCGACTGCAAATATCTCTGACAGGAAGCTATAGTTGCAAGGTACGCTGAGTGTCAAGCGTGCGGAGCGGGAAGGGAAGGGAAAATCAACCACCCGGCTGGCTTGCTGACTGAGCATTCCAATCGCAACCACCAAAAAGGCAACTCCTGGCCACATGCCTATATCATAAGAGTTCACCTTTTTTCAATCCAACTACTAACAAGTACGTAATGATAAGCAAATTTAAAAGCAGTTTTGTGCTGTTACTTCTTCCAACATGGTAACAAGATGTTTCAATGCCATGTTTTATTCCATACTGTGTAGTTGCGCAATAATCTGATCTCTGGTCTATTCTATCTGGACATATAGTGCTAATAGTACATAGGGAAATATGATCTGCGCTCCCGGACTACCAGGGGACGTCCTGGCCTTTATAGGCTTCCCACCCTGGGACATGGATATTCTTAAACCGGCCATTGTCCGCACGGTCTGCAGACATAGCAATGTTCAATACCGCCTCTGCACCTTGAGGCACGGTCAGGTCGGCATACTTCCCACCCATGTCACTTTGGAGCCACTGATAAGTTTCGTTAGATGCTCTGATATTAACTAACCAGTAGATCGGGAAGTGAGAACTTACTCCAGGGCTGACTGCGAGGAAAATAAATCCTTCCTCTTGGTAGGAAAGCGCATACTGGACCGTTAAGGCGTTTAGTGCTGCTTTGCTGATCTTGTATGCCGGGCAAGGAGCGTACGATACTTCGCGTGCATTGGTCATCGAGCCATATGCACTCGAACTGTGATTGAAAGCTGTAAGTCCCTGATCGAGGATCTACCTATCTTATTGCATTTGATGCTTACATATTGATGATCTTCTTGACCTTGCTATTCTGCATCAAGGGAAGATAGTGGCGAAGAACGTTATGTGTTCCAGTTACATTCACTGACAACTGGTAGTCGAGGTCGGACCTATTAGTTTGAGGTCAGTCTCGGTGATGCTCCAAAAAAAAGAATGGATCCGCTAGGCTACTTACATTGACGCTAGTTTTCCATGTGTCTCACTATGAACTCCAGCGCAATTGATCAACATGTCCAGACTGTTTTCGTTTAATGCTGATCTGACTTGCTCGGCTGATTCAGCGATTCTTGACTCCTCGGAAATATCCAAAGCGACGAAGACAATGCATCCATTGGACTGGGCGATAAGTTCCGTAAGCTTCGGGCTGCATTTCCGCGCCGTTGCAATAACCAACCCTCCTTCGAGGCAGGCTCGGGCAGCTAGCTGCCTCACTAAATCTAAGCCTAAGCCGCGGGAACTGCCAGTAACGAGAAAGTTCGACATCTTGGGAGGTAGACTCTGTAAGACGTTTGATCGGTGAAACGTATTCTAAGAAGTGCAAGGCATCAAATAATATCGCAGATTTCAAGGAACTAAGTATGTTTGTACAGCGAAGTGTTTTGCCCCCTCGCCTTGGGAGATTTTCTCCGTCGCCAACGGTCCGGCCTTCCGAACTGGAAGGGTAATTGGTAATTGATCCGCGGGCCCACTTTCCCGATGTAGTCGGTCTTCCCCTCACAGATGTGCCATATGCGACAACAACGTCGAACCACCGCGGTTTGGCCGAACAAGCCTGTTATTGCAAGACCTGAAATGTAGAATCAGACGAAAAGAACAGGCCGGTCCAGAAGGTGAATGCAGATCTTCAGCGCTCTAGTATGACGCAGATTCAAGGAACAATGTTCTTTCGGCCGCGAACCTCCCATAGATATATAACCGCCACAGCGGGGTTTGAACTGCTTACTACAGGGTTCCGTTTCACAGAAGTTCAACGATTCACTAACTTATTGAAACCTAACACACCCTCAATATGGCCGAATCCTGCACCGTGGAGGATCATCTCAAGATGCTGGAATCATTCCTGCGTCCGGGTGAAATAATTCGTACTACTTCTCCAGATTACCAATCGAGAATTGAGACCTGGGCTGCCCAAAAACAACTGAACCCTCATATTGTTCTTCGACCCACATCTGTTGACTCTTTGAGCAAGACAATTGCCTACCTCTACTCCACAGAACTGGACTTCACTATTTACGGCCATGGGTTCATGTCCGCATCCGCAAGCGATGTGTTGGTGAATATGTCGGCGTTCGATGGCTTTCACCTCGATAGAGATTCGGAACTCGCCACGATCGGAGCTGGACAGACATGGTCAGATGTCTATCAGAAGCTGAGTGAAGTCGCACCGGAATATGGAAGTAAGGATTCTATCTTCAATCTTCCAGATCACGTATTCTGTGGGCGGATACTGACACAAAACTAATGCAGTCGTGGGAGCCCGCACCCCTTGTGTGGGCGTTGCAGGCACTATCATCAGCGGTGGCTTTTCATGGCTTTCCAGAGAGTACGGGTGTATCTCAGACCCAGCGAATATGCTAGATGCGAGAGTCGTGAAGTATGATGGCTCGGTTGTTTGGGCATCCTCGGAGCCAGATCTTCTGTGGGCATTACGTGGCGGCGGAGGTGGCTTTGGCGGTAGGCAATATGAAACGTTCTAAATTTGGAATGAATAGTTACTAACGCGCAAACTTTAGTCGTCGTTGAGGTTGTGCTGCGAGTGTTCCCTTATCCGCAGAATATTTGGGCTGGCCCGATTCTGATACCGCGGGAGAAGCTCGAGGTGACAGCAGACGAAATTGCAAAATTTGTTTCTCGACCTCTTGATCCAAAGGTCTCCATGTTTCTATACGTCGTGAAGAAGCGGCTGCTAAAGTCAATTGGGGCGGACTCAGATATGTTGGTACTGCATGCTTTTGACGCCTGCGGAGAAGCGCACGGTCGGGTCAACTTCCAGTGGGCACTAAGCATCCCCGGAGCTATTGACCAAACTAAGGTCACTACGTTTGCTGGTGTTGCAGATTTACAGGGTAAGGCCACAAGCTTGCAAGTGCTGGTAAATGTATGCTCATCATTAGACAAGATAAGGTGCATATTGCCAAAGGCACCATGAAGCAGTTCTGGTCACCGTTGCTTCTACGAGAACTTTCAAAGGACATCATCATCAATGCTGTTCAGTGGTCTGAAGATATCGGAAAACTGGACGAATCGCTCAGTGACTGCACCTATTTGATCTTTGAGCTGCTGTGTTCGGTAAGTCGCAGGAACCGATAAACCCGCAGAAAAGTACTTCATTCTTACATACTGAATGCTGCAGCGCGACCCTGAGGGAGGAGTAACCAGCTGCGCCTGGCCACGACCTCAAGGGGCCAAGCACATCTTGCTTATGGGTCCCGGATGTCCGGCTGATGCAGGACGTGACCACGAAGATCTGGTACGAGATCTTGCTATCAAGGCAGGCTCCAGAGTCTTGGGAGAAAACGCAGATCTGCATTACCTTCCTAATGGTTTCGAAAAGTTCTATGATGAGAAAAAGGTAAGTCTGAAGACTCAATTATCATCTGACCTGCTGCTCATTCGTGAACTAGATTTGGGGTCCACATTTCTCCCAGTTGCAGGATTTGAGAAGAAGATATGACCCGCTAGGCAAATTTAAGGGGGCAGTTACTCACTCTCATACATAATTCATTAGTCCAGTATGTTATTGGACACATATGACGACAAAAGGGGAAGGGAATGGAGAAAACGAGTAAAGGAAAACAAAAAAAAAAGACCCATGATTCGCTTGAGCAACAGAAGCTAATGGCAAGTCGTGGTTTTTTTAGTCTGCAGTAAGTCTTTAATCAGGGTTGTCAGAATCAGTAGTAATATAGTTAGTCACTGTCCTGAGACCACAGTATGGGTATACCTTTCATTGCGATATCGGGACCCTGAGAGTTAAGCATAAGCACTAACTAGCATAACCCGTCTCTTAGTCATGCGTATAAAATCCCCGGCATTAGTATGCACAGCAGACCCTGCAGATCAGTGGGTCTCAGACAGCCCCCACCATCTTATCTTAGCGGGATATGCATGACAACAGGATTGACTTCTGGCCGGCCCCACACTGAAAGTCGAACGCCCGTGGGGCGTATTGTAACACTAGCGTATACGAATGGGGCCCCCACGCAACCTCTAGCTTAAAGTAACAACATTTTGTAAATAAAGACAGTGAACTGCAGAAGTTGATGTATCTGATATATGCGACGGATGACGAACAAACCATATGTTCTCTAAAAACACTACAATCGCGCACAACCCCAACAGCTTGGATTCGTGCTGCTACCAAGTAGAAAAGTGTCTACTCCCTTGCGTTTCCGGCAAAGACGCAGTGACATTTGAGTGGAATCGCTGTTCCATGCAGAGTGCGAGACGTAATAGAGAGCTGCTAGTGCCAGTGTGTCTGAAGTATGTAAAGCTCCCTTCTGGGCTCAAGGGGGTGGCAGTACTTGAAGCGTGATTGCGTTACTGAAGGTTCTGGGCATTAAACTCCGTGTGCAGTACCGTCTACTACAGATAGTGTTGAGGCGCGATTTTACGTGTGAAGCAATGAAACAGCAAAAATGCAGACAAAACGAACGCAAAGATGCGGCAAAAGAGTGCTTCTATTGGCTATCTCGGTGCGCGCAGCGAAACAACGCGAAACGATGCTTTGCGTGGGCGGCCCGCGCGCCAAGCACGTGACCAAGCCTACATGAATGCCTCCACAGATAGTATATAACATCACATTCTAGTCAAACAAACACGTCCATCTCCTTCGCAAGATAAACCGACCTGTCATCTTCGGCCAGCAATATAGCGCTTACACATTCCTAGTATATCCCCCACAGCACCGGCTCACTCTTGACATTACCATTGCAATCCATGTTTCCCTTTGCGCCGATCAGCCCATCCCTAGCAAATTTGTCGATAGCATCGTTGATAATATCAATGACATCCTGCCCGCCAACCTTGAAATTGACATTCCCGTTGGTTTTAGTAGCCTCAATGCCGAAATGACAGGATGCGTGACTGGCAATCTCGCGCTGGTTATGGCCGACAACCTGGGTCGTCCAGCTAGTGGATGCATCGCCCTCAATGTTCTTGATGATCTGGCGGCAGTCTTCTACCTTTGGTGATGCATCGCTAGTTTGGTCCACAAAGGTTGACTCACCGCACTCATCTTTACCAGGCGGGATGTCGCAGGGCCAGTTCGGGCTTGAGTCCTTGTCGGCCGTGTCCCAGGATTGAAAGGCGCGGGCGGGGCTACAAACAGGAATCCGCATGAAGCCGGGAGTTGTAACATCCACGTCTATCAGATCGGACATGGTGCCGTGGTTCGTTGGATCTGCTATGTTAGCGCCGTTCTCCCTCCCGTTAGCTATCCAGGTCCGGACAGAGCCCTTGACTAGCTCGTTGGTCGTGATGCCGTAGTAGCTATTGTCGCCGGAGATGTATTCGATTCCATTGGGAGCAGAGAATTTGTTGTCTTTGCAGACCGTTTGACAGGGGCCGGAATCGTTGATGATTTTGCAAGTACAGTCAGTCGCATCGCCATCCGGATATGCGAGGTAGTATTGCCGATTGTCAACGCAGACAGCCGTGGCATCAATGGTGTCGTCGTCCAAGTACTCGCTGATGTCCGGGTCATCGTCGCAAGACTGGCCTGAATCAATGATAAAAGTATAAGATCCAGCTTGGCGCCACAATGCGGGCAATGCAAAGCCGACGACGCATTTATTAATATTGGCAAGCAGCTCATTTTGGGTATTTCCAGTATCAGGGGGGTCAGTATCCCTCTTACCCTCGATGAGCTTGCCATCTGATATGAGTTCCCAGAGGGTATCGATGCTCGTGTCGTTTCCACCGAAGAGGTCATCCAACGCTAGCGATGTGACATTAGACCAGCCCCACACCACTTGCCCTAGGTAGGCAGAAAATTCATCTTGTCCCTCCGGCGACCATTTGGGCTTACTAGCCGGAGGTAGTACATCCTTGGCGGTAGTTGTACCTTGTCCAAGGAGGGTCATGGTTGTGTCCTTTGTATTGTCCAGGGCGCTGCCAGAAAACCAAGCGTTGTCCTTAAGCATTGTGTTGAACAGCGGCCCTGCAGTGCCCAGGGCACCAAGAGTGATCATGTCAATAAGGATATTGAGCCAGGTGGTATCTTCTTCTGGTGGGATAGGCGCAAATTTGTTTTCCATATCATCCAGTGCTGTACCGACAAGGGTAAGAGAGTGGAATAAGCCAGTATAGTATTCCTTGTACATCTCGTGAATTTGGGCCATTGAGTACAGGATGAGAAAGGCTGCGGGGCCAGAGTGGTCTCCATTTGCAGCGTCTTCGCAACCAATGGAATTGCAGCTCGAGGACTTTATATTATCGCAGGCCTGAGCCTTGAAATAGGTGGTACTCTCAACAGATTCCATGAAAGTCATATGGCGCGGGCGATCGGTGTCCTTCCAGATTCGGATAATGTCACGCCACGCTGTATCTGTGTCCATGTTCTTCCACCGCTCTGAGGGTGTGAAGTCGAATAGATTTGCAACATTATCGTTACTGCAGTTATACGAGGTCCAGTTTCCGGTACGCGTTTGGTCAGTCTTAGGGTCCTCCCCTGCTTTGGCAAGCTGGATGAAGTTGGCCCAGCTTGTCGCCGGCTTGGGAACATCATGATAGGTTTGCAGGTCGCTGGCCCAGTCAGAGGTTCCACCCAAGCCCCAAGCGCTATACAGGGTGGTGCGGGCCCTTTTTGTGGCGGTGCTCATGTAACCGACCCATTCATCCTTATCGTAAATGAGAATGTCGCTATTGCTGGTCGTGTCGACATAGCTTTTGACGACCCGAGAGGAATCTTTTATGATATTATCAATTTCCGCGCCAGCAAGGTAACCTGCTGTATTAGTACATTCGCCCTTCTTCGCGTCAGAATTCAAGCGGTCGCCAGTGTAAAGGCAGTCCGGCCCCCAGCAATTTGGGTCTGCCATCTTAAAAGAACGACCGTAGCTTGTCACACCAACAATAACCTTTGCGCCAGGGACACCTGCCTTGGTAATCATTGCCAAAGACTGTTTAGTTTCTGTCAAATTCACCTGGCTGCGCAGACAATTACCCGTATCACAGCCTTCCTGTGAGTTGCTGTTATGCGCATCCCACTGGCCGTGAAGGTCATAGGTCATATAGACAATGTAGTCGACGATCCTAGCCATCTCCTTTATGGGGAACTGCTTCAGGTACCAGTAGGATGCCGGTGCGGCAATGGAGACAGACTTTCCCGGCAAGAGATTTTTGAGAACGACAAGAAATGCCAGGTAGTTGGGACCGTCTTCCTCCGTCCCAGGGTCATTTTCAGGGAGGTCAGGCGCCCCTGGATATTCCCAGTCGATATCGACACCATCAAGGTCATTGTCCTTGATAAAGTTGGCAATATTCGTCGCCATCGTTAGCCTGTTCGCCGGTTTGACACCATTACGGAAAATCTTGTATGTTTCAGGCATGGTTGAGAAGTCCCACCCACCAATCGAAAGAATTCTCTTAGCTCCTGAGAGTCTCTTGAACTCGCCAAAAATTGTAGGTGGACAGTGTATTCCCTGTCTCAACCTCCCAAGAGTCGGTCAGTGTTCCGAAGCCGAAATGAAGGTGCGTGTATTGCGAGGTATCAATCTGCGAAGCATCCTGAAAGAGGCACTTCCTGCTGAGGCAGTAGCCTTCATAGTAGGCGATTTTGACATCCCCAGACCCAGATCCTTTCACAACATTCATCCCACAATTCGATATACAGCCGTAGGTTCCTGGCTCAGCCGTTCCCGGGGCCCCAGTGTTTGTATCAACACAGAAGTCCGCAGTTATGCCGCATTGGCCCCATATATTACAGCATGCGTTGAGCGGACAAGGGTTGAGATCGGCAATATTCGAGCCATTCGATGGCGGGATTGTGCCTGGCTTTTGGGGACCACACTGAGCGTTGGAGATCTCTGCGGGGAAGGGCGGAGTTCCTTCACTCAAACACATAACTGTATCTTTGAACAGAAGCTCGCAGCCATTCCAACCCCAGGTGTCCTTGTTAAAATTCTCAAGATCATCGCTGCTCAAACTGTATTCCGCAGCGAGGCTGTCGCAATTGTCATCGGCCTGGACCTGGTATGCCCTACATGAGCCGTCTTCGTTGGGCTGGGGACGAAAATCAGGAAGAATTCCATCAGAGCAGCAAACATGCTGCTTAGGCTTCAACGTGGAGCAGAAATCATTGCCGGGGTTGTACTTCGTGAAGTCAGCGCCCGAGATGCCGCATTTCACTGCCAGGTCTGCACAGCCGTTCCCAGCGTCAACCTGTACAGTTGTACACTCGCCACTCCCCCTTTTCTGAACCAGATTGCGCCCTAAGTAAGTGGAATTGGCCGCGGTAGTGTGGTTGTCATTCAGGAGCGGCGTAGTGAATTTCACCGAGCCCGCAAGCTTGACAGATCCGGGGAACGATAAGCACGTCGCATTAGCCCAAGACTTGATTGCACTTTGTATGGGAGCAAAGGTTCCATTGCTCGTCGCCATAATACCGAATACATGTGTGCTATCATAGCCTTCCTCACAGAGCTGCATAGCTAAGCTAGGGGTGGAGATGGCAAGATTGCCAAGATTGTCCTGGAAGAGCTTGAGCGCAGACTCGCCGAGCCCTTGTTTCAGCAGACCCTGGCCAATATACAACCCGATTGTAGCTTGACCAGACTGACCGTATATGATAAATGGCCTATCGGACTTGCCATGCTCTCCATCGGCATAGTGGCGCATCTGCCTAACAATTGACCGCAGCCCAGCACCCGCCAGACCGAAACCCTCCTGCCACCACCCAAGTTCAAACTGAACATCAACGGGCTTGCTAGAAGTAACATGAGTTGTAGTCGCTGGAAAAGTGGCAAAGTCCGGCCCGTATGAAGAGCAGGCCTGAATGCGGTGGGTTCTCTCCCAATCATCAACATCGTCAAACAGGGAGAAGTCATAGAAGATCGTTTCCTTGCACTTCCGGATCTGCTTGAAGCCCGAGTACACCGACCAGTTCCCCGTATTGGGCCCAGCATCACGGCAGCGCTCAGGACAAGCGGAAGCACCGCTATTGTAGCTCTGGCTGGAAAAGCTACGGAAGCCAGGGCTTGCGATAGCTGAAGGTGGCCATGCGGTCAGCACGAAGGCTGCTGCCACACCGAGCCAAGCGAGGGCCACCATGGAAAAGGAATAAAAGATAGAGAGAACCTTGATGAAAGGAAAAAAAAAAAAAAAAAAAAAAAAAGGGAAATAGGAAGGAAAAAGAGGAATAGATAGGAAAGAAAAGGAGATGTCTCAAGGCAAAGACCGTGTGTGAATGAAAAGAGAATTTAAGGAAAGACTGTGTGGGCTGTGCCGGAAGGAAAGAGCGTGACTGAGGTAGGAGTTGAATCATGAGAAGGAGAAAGGATATTGACAAGGAAAAGTATTACCATTTATATAAGAAACAATAACCAGGATTCCAACATCGAGCACATGCAAGTCTCTTGTTTCCAAAGCTCCGAAAGCGGATTTCACGATCATTCTCGACCGGGCGTTGCACGCGACCCCCCACGGTGTTCATCTTGCGGCAGGGACACATAGCAATCTAAGACATACCATGATTGCTGATTGGGTAAGTATCTATCTTGCAACTGTATATGAGTGGTGGCTTCTCGCGAACCGACACCTTAGTTATCCTTGGCGCAATTTCTCTGTCAGCTCGTAAGTCGAAATTGTTGGGGGTAGAGCGGCGGTATGACGGGTGGCAGTAGCGCGGGAAATTCCCCACAACTGTGGGGGGCGAACTTCCTAATCCGATATTAGCGCAGGGTAGGGCGATCCCTAGATAGACCGGAGAGAGGGAAAAGGGCGGGTAGAATATATCGAGCTGGAAAGCAGTCAGAATCGCGAAGGAGACTACCCTTGTGAGAGAGAGGAGAATAGATGTGTATGGATCAAAGTTGATGAAGGATCTGTTCTGTGTCTCGCTATAGTGAAACTCCCAAGATTGACGTTTATCGATGAAAGGAGGTCCAGTAGTGTTCCAACCCACTTGAGAGGACTTGGCAGGCATGAAAGGGTCTGATATTTCCCCCTCTACCGTCAAATCTCCTATGTTCTGTAAGCTGTGGGTACTTATCTTGACCGTAAACTCTAAAGGTTGCATTAAATTTGTAGGCACGGTCCGGCTTGGAAAAGATGGGAATGATCGGTGCGCACCGGCCTCCGTGATATCAGCCCACACTAAGGCCAGGTAGCGGAGGTAGGACTCAAAATGAATGTGATTTGCAGGTAGTGGGTGTGTGGTGGAGGCCAAGACAGTAGTATAAGCTAGTGTTAAACCGTTTAGTGAAAGTAGCCTTAGAGAGATCACTTGTGATTTACGTAGGTTGGATATCGCACATTGTGTTAAGAAGATACCCTTTATGTACTATCGTTATTGAATAGTTGCGGTGAGTTTCAAGAGAATCATGTAATTTTCACCAAAGATATGCTGCTGACTATCGATTCCTTGGTGCTTTTGAAAGACGATAGGCGTAAGCACGAAGAAAGTTTATCCATGTTGGCCCGAGCTACACATCAGCAAAATATCTATTTACAAGATGGCAAGGCCCAAAGCTCCAATTACAGTTAGCATTCCACATACACCGAGTATAGCCGATTGTGTAGCCCCATTCTCCTCTTTAGGACAGTTATCAGGGGGAACCGGAAGGTAGCAGAAGCGCTGTTGCTGAGCGGCAGCCATGCTCTCGGCCGTATCCTCGTCTATCGCAATACGACATGGGTCCGGGGTAGAGGTTGTAGGACTGGCAGTTGTGTTTTCAGTAACGACACATGTGTCCCGGTGTGCCCAGTTGAGCCACGAAGGAGAACTCATGACTGTATCGGTCACATTGATGACGATTCCGTTGGGGCTTCCGGGGCAGCTTTTATTTGCGGTAGCTGCGACAAGGTCCACCTCCTTGAGACTGGAATTGTTGATATAGAAGCCCGCCGTCCAATGGTAGTAGTGTTCAGAGACTCCATCACTATCATGGCGGTGGGTCAGCGCTTCCACATTGCAGCTTTCCCAGCTCAGCTTCCATTGAACCAACCAACGACCGGATGTGTTAAAGCTGTTGTCGAAGTAGTCGTAGACGAAGTAAGGGTCTGCGCTGCCCGACCAATTTGTCCACGAGAAATCATGGACCATAGATAATTGGTTATCAAAATTCAGCCCGTCATTGCTTTTGTAAATGTAGTAGGATAATTGGAGGTTGAGAAGCTCTGCCCTTTCCGTGTTCTGCACAGCAAAGACGAATGGGAACGACTCGGCTGGTGAGTATGAGGCATCGCTTCGAGGAAACACCAAGTCAAACTCGACCGCAGGCGAGGAAGTGATCAAGGCTCCGAGTACTATGAGCCATTTTGGTTGGAGAAAAGGCATGGCTGAGGGATTTGACGGGCCGAGCCAAAAGCGGACGTTGAGAGACTGGAATAGCGAAGCTAGAACCGGGAGAAACACGTTGACCTTGCTCAATAGTACCGTCCAGCTCTTACGGACTTCCGGTGACTACTAGCAATGAGGCAGGGAATATTGAGAATATTTGTAAAATATGTGTGTCGGGGGAGGGAGTGGAATAGGGGTCCTTGGCAGGTAATCTCCCGACCCCTGTCGCCCGAGACTAACTGTAGGTCTTGAAAGAGCACGAGCGATTCCTCCGCCCGAACTAACAGGAGATAGCGCAGGTCCGTTCTTGGATTTGGGTCAGGTCATCGCCTCCGTCAAGGTGACATGGCGCGCCAAGACGATCTAAAGAAACATCGGAGCGGAGCGAGGAACCATTCAAGCCTCTGTTTTCTGGGCCAAGCCTTGGCGCTGCGGGCAACGTTACATTCGTTTTCCATAAAGTGCGCCAAATGGTCCCTGGCTAGTCTTTTGCACTGGTCTAGCCTTATAAGGTAGTCGTAGCCAATGTGGACAAGGCGCTAAAGGAAAGCCATGATCCCAGCCTTGCCGGCTGCTTCCGCTCCTTCCTTACCACATTGGGAAGGTCGCTATTGCTAATCTCGCTTACAATGGTGCTTGGTTAGTTCATTATGAATTTTCGCCTCCTGCCTCACGATAATATCGATTGGACAACTGATCCCTAGCCAAGGAGTGGTTACTACGCTAATGTAGCATACACATCACATGTACCCTACATGCTCTTGATCAAGGTCATCCCCGTATCAAATTCTGATCATGCGCACTATGGTCTCAACCATTGACTGAGCCGTTATAAATTGAATGTCTTGATTGAATGGCTGGTTTCGTAGACGTTGCCCCCACCAGTCCATTTAGCGCAGGAACCATCACCGACGCTCCACCATGACAGATAGCCGTCCATTTAGTCATATAGTCTGCGGTCTACAGCGCAAGTACAGGGTACAGATGATAAAGACCCAGTCTAACAATCCCGGTCTTCGGCTCGCTGATTGACAATGAAAAATGACACATTCGACGTGGTGGAACAGGTCGACTGGAGTCAAGCCAATGGTAGTGGAATGGTTAGTTGTGTCCAGATGAGTATATAAGCCAGTGTATACCCTTCAGATGTCGCTGATCATTACCTCATTCTCTTCAACAACCCTGTATAGGAGGCTCATATCGCCCTAAAACTAGCCCAAAGACGCCGTATTCATACGAAGAGAAATGCAACTCAAGTACCTCACTGTCGCCGGACTTGCTCAAGGCGTAGCCTGTGCGCTCTCCAAACGTACAATTGAGTGCTCCTTTACTACGGATGCTAGCAAAGGTGATACCTGCGATAGCTTTGCTGATGTTTGGGGGCTATCTGTTGAGGGCCTTCAGCAGCTAAACCCTGGTATTACCTGCCCAGATCTTGATACGACCAAGTCGTACTGTGTCATCGGAACCGTCAGTGACGATGCACCAAGCACCATGTCTACGACAACGATATCTTCAACTACGACGTCTAAGTTTTCAGTCCCAACTCCCAGCACCATCACAACCACCACCGCAGCTGTGCCTACCAATTCGCCTACTATGCCAGGCATTGTCGATAACTGCGATGGGTTCTACAAGGTCGCTTCTGGCGATCATTGTGACACTATCGCCGAGACATATGGTATTACCACGGCTCAGTTGTTGAGTTGGAACAGTGAGATTAATGATAGTAAGAAAGCCCTACCCGCCCATTTTTTTCATTGACGACGGGAGGGACTGTGATATTTTGTTACTGACATGCAACTCATCTAATTAGGCTGTTCAAACCTCTGGTTAGACTACTATATCTGTATACACGTCCCGGGATCTACCACAACCACTCCTGAAACGCCCGAGCCGACCGAAGACCCGGGTTTCAGTCCGACTCCCCAAATGCCCGGCATTGTCAACAACTGCGACGAGTATTATAAGGTAGCATCTGGCGACAATTGCGAAACTATCTCTAAATCCTATGGCATTTCCATGGCCCAGTTCAAGAGCTGGAATACCAAGGTCAACGATGGTATTCATGCCTCTCACATTCGTTCTACGCTCACATTGCAGTAATCTAACAAATTATATCTTAAACCCCAGACTGCTCGAACCTTTGGCTTGACTACTACGTCTGCGTACACATCCCCGGTACAACCACCACAACGACGGCAGCCCCAGACCCCACGAACGACCCCTCAAGCCCGACGCCTCAGCTGCCGGACATAGTCGAGAACTGCAGATCCTTTCATCTGATCAAGGATGGAGAGAACTGTTGGTCCATCTCTAATGAAGCGGGAATCACACTTGCGCAACTGCGCGAGTGGAACACGGAGCTTAATGCAGCATGCGATAATTTGTGGTTGGGATACTATGTCTGCGTTGGTGTTTGATTACGCCCTGGCGTCCACATTTGAAAAAGGGTTTGTCTACCCATAAGTTTGACTGCTCTTAGTATAGTATAGGATTTACATGAATTAACCAAATGATTGACTGCTTCCTCCGCACTATGAAAACAAAACCGGAAACACAGTCGCAGATCCCAGGGCCGCCCCATCTGTAGACCCGCCACGGGCCGAGCCGCTTCCTTGAATCCAAGCCGTGGCTGAACGTGGAAAATCAGGGTCCTTCCAAATTTGGCTTAATACTATTCCACGTCGTATTTATGTTCATATTCCTCCACGCCTTGAGGGGCCTTAAGCCAACAAAATCGTAAAGAGTTCGGAATAGAGAACTGGGCAGCGCATTCTCTAGATAGATACCGAGTGGCCTTTGACAATTTTGTCGGTTTTCGCTCATGTCCGACGCTCGAATTGTGATTATTCCAGGTGTGTAATAGTAGTTTCAGTTAGCTAAATACTTTAGGTCGCTCTTCTAGGTTGTGTAGATTGAATGAGGCGTTATTTATAATCTGGTATTGTAGTATCCACTTTTCGAATATCGATGTTCAAGGAGAGTATGGACAGATTGATATATATTCCGCTGATGCGAGGTCTTATATTTTCTCTGAATTGCCATGAGGCTTCAACTCTCTGGAGTCTTTTGAGCTAATATCAAATAAAGTGCCAGCTTCACAGGATGACTGAGGAAGCCAACACCAACCACTTTGTCCATTTCGGCGTGGCACCAATGTCCAGTGAGGCTTGTTATCGGACGGAGAACGGTGGCGTGGAAAGGCTCTTCGCAGTCTCCTGAAAGCTGTTGGGAATAAAAGGGGAATGTGTACGAATGAAAATATATCCTGCCTTGAGCACAATGACAATATCTGTCTGGCTAAATGCATAAATTCTCTGTCGCAGATGAGACCCAGTATCGAGGTATCTAATGGCAATTTATTTCTGGATAACAGTAATTGATCTTAGTGATACCAATATAAAATGCCATCCAAACTTGAGATTTAGATACGAATAACTTGTACATAGAGCCATTGCATCCTGCGTAAACTTGATAGACCTGGCTAGTATCACCTGCTAATATAGCGACGCTGAGGGATTCCTTCGCCTAATATTTACGACAGGCATCCCGTGCAAAAAGAAGGCAATGTTCTAACTAGTCAGACTGAGGTCTGTAGACTCCAGTCGTTTTCGATGCAGCATTGCTAAATCAAGTCTTCCTTGGGGGCTGGTTCTCCTTCTTAATAGGCTGATGGGACAATGGAATGTCGCCGGACTTCGGGGTTCGCTTAGGCTTCGAGTACTCCTTCCGGCAGATGTTGAATGCTGTCACATACGGACTCTCCTCATCGATCGGATAGGATGTGGCTGAGTTGGTATATCCAAGGCCCGCAAGATCCACTAAATAGAGCCTGTCTGCCCGAGCATCGTAATGAAGGTAGCTTGGGTGTTGCTCAGTCAGTTTGTAGTCATTCTGGCGCATGAGCCTGCCAGATAGTCAGTATACGTTAGCTCAGAATGGAGAACGCCCTTTCTTTTCTGTGGCAGGATGCGAAACCAACTTACTCCAATAAATGCGCTAGTTGCTTTCTGATACTCCTGCGCTGGGTGTCGGTAAGCTCCTCTAGGATATCATCAACGTTCTTCCCAGGAGGAAACTCCATAACGATGAACTCAAGGTACCCTCCAGGAAAAGGCATCCAATGAGGTTGTTCGTGGGTCTCGTGTTTATGATACTTCGGCCCATATCCGTGTGTAGACAGAAGGTCTATAGCCTCCACTTCATGGCAGTAGTGCTGTTCAGCAACCTTCAAGGTCTTGTCCAGATCTTCTATGTCACAGTCTTCCGGGTCAAGTTGATAGCGTATTTTGAGCAGGTACCTTTTGTCCTGTCGCGTGGCTATTGCTAGAACCTTGCGCTCACCAACTTCCGCATTGTCATCCTCGGTCAGCTGCCTCACCACTTTGAAATCTTCCCCCTCGATATCGAAAATTCGGTCACTGAAACTGAAACTCCACATGATTGAACCACTGTATGATACGGTACTTGTTTCAAGAGAAAGGTAAGCATTTATGCCCTAGGCACATGGAGGTGTGGGACGGGGGTGTGGGATTGAAGTATGGAAGTTGGAGACGGGGGAGCGACGGGGTGGAAACTCTTCGGTGTTCGTATGTGTGTCACCACCCGCCTTCATTCACTATGACACTCTACCAAGGTCATTATAGGTACGTCACTAACCATAGGTTGCTTCATATTTACCATTACTTATTTCGATTCGTATGATGTCAGCTGACATTTTGAGAATTCTTTCATTACGTGACTGTAACCTTTACGCCCAATCAGGCTGGCCATTGTTGTCCAACTTGACTCATTTCGCGCTCTGCCGGCCTTCATGCAACGCATATATACTTCCCGACAAGCCATGATACTAACTATGTTTCCAGGAAATAAAAAAAAAGAAATCAAAAAAAAAAAAAAATAAATAAAAGCCATATTCATCCACCCATTGCAATCGCTAGAAGAGGCATGGATTATGCTATGGATTTAATGAACAGTGAAATGGCCGATTTTGTCATTGACTACCCACGCGGAAAAAGTGCGGTTCTGCAAGGCATCCTGAATGCCATTCCTCCCGACAGAAGCCCTTTCTTGGCACTAGACACAGTCAATGAAATATCCAGTGTCCAGGAGATTGAGGTCTTGAACCAGATATGGGGAGCACTGTCGGTCGTTACGCACGAGCCAGTCGTCCCAGTTATAATTCAGGTACGGCTCTTTGCATGGAGAACAACCAAACTTGCCTGAACATATGTGAAATCGAGAGTTACCACCACCAAGGCTCTGCCACAGAATCGTTTCTCGGAGCATGATCTCCTTCAAACAGGCCTCATTGACATTACATGGTGCATCTTCGGTCATTACTCCTTAGGGGACGCAAAACGACCTGTTACTGCTACCTCCGAAAACGTGATATATGGCCTGTCCTTTTGATGAGCATGGTATTGTCTCAATCAGTTAATCAGACTATAGCTAGATAATACGGATTAGAGTGTATCGCTTATCATCCCCAGTCTGCCTAGGGTCAAACAATTGGATGAAGGTCGGCCTCTTACTGATCTTGTCGTTGCTATGCAACTGGTTGGTAAATTTGATGGTTACTATCAAAAGTTGGGGTACGTAAACTCTGAGAAATCTGAAAATCGTTTCTGGCTAAGGTGCATGCCTATCTAACTCCAAGTACTCCCCCTTCCTCGTACTAGATTATCTTCTGAAAGCAGAAATGATCAACTAAATCAATGAACTTCTGAATTCAACGCAGGCAACCCAAAGATTAGCTCACAATGCAAAACCTCAAATTCAGGAAAGGTATTTCGAGGGATCAGCTCTTGCTGATTTCTGTCATTCCGAGGTTCTATGACATTGAAGTTAAGAGGACCTCCCTCTCAGATTAGGTGGGCTTCTCGATCCTCGGATCATGGTCTGCCTTCGAGTAGTCTGGTTATGCCGTTAGAACAATTTCGAGGCACAAACAAACTATTACCCACTAAACGTTTGCCATATCTGGCAGGGTAGTAGCTTCTTTCTTCATCAGCGACCGCGATGACAAGAGCCAGTAGGCATTCCCGGAGCGATAGGGCACTAGATGTTGAGACAGAACTGGCACTTATTGGCTGAGACACGGCAAAGTGGGTGTCATCGACCCTTTTCAAGAACCAAGTATGCTCATAGATCGTGTAGATGCCATACCTGCAGTGATGATCATCCATGTATCGAGAGAGCTGGCCTATTCATTCAAGAACCTGGGTCAGAATACTGACTTAAACTACCCAGTTAAAAATAATGGAGACTCACCAAACTTTCGAGCTGTGAAACTCTTCCAAGTTTCTTCCTTGCCTGGCTCGAACGCTCAGTGCGTCTTCACCTCGCACAACACCCCTATCTCATTTGCCACACCAAAGGTCTCGTTTGGTACAACGGGCATAAAGGGGATAATGGTTCCCACAATAGGGATTAGACAGAACCTTTACCTCTTGGGTGAAGTTCTCCCAATCCAGGAGTTGGTCTCTGTGGAGTCTAAATTGTGAGCCGCCGGGTTTCAACATGCGGTACTTCTCTCCGTTGCGTAGGTGAGGTACAGACGCCCAAATTCGCTCAAGATGGCCGCATGGCAGCATGTTATTGGTCATCGTGTCGTTCTTCCTCGACTGAGGAAATCTCCGTTTCGGTTCTGAGTTCGAGAGACTTAGCTTACGGAAGCACGAGGCGCAGTAGCTATTGGAACAAAAGAAATGATCAAAGGACTGCAAGAAGAAGGATCATTTGCCCGTGCTTTTATATAGACAGTGCTATTCATATGTAACTATTCATTCTAAACGATAGCTTCACTGGAAAAGTATTCACTTCATCTCCATGTATTTTCATTGAATATTCCTCTTTCCATCATCTTCATTACAGCACACCTATCTTCTCAATTCAATATTGAAGGCCTGGTTGATACATGATGACAGCCAAATTCGACCCATTCTACGCGGATGCCTTCGTAGAGTGAAAGTCAAGGTGCTTTGCGATACACGTGTAGATAATTGTTCCAAATGCTTTCCAATGAGAAAGATGATAGGATAAGTAGTAGTAGCATAACGGGGCTCGACTAGTGGCCTCGATCTGCAGGTTATTTATTCTCTAGGCCGCTCGAGATCAGTCTATGTACAAAACGTTAAAATATGGCAAACCATGGTGTTGACCATGGTCCGTGATTCCCCATGCCATGTCCCTGACAAAACCTGCAGGTAGTTCAGTGGTGGAAAGTCATCAGGCAACGCTGTACAGAATTAGAATATTAGGGACCAGCATCGCAGTATGAAGGTTACGAATGCAACTTCTTTTATGGGCGCAGAAATCTACTCCAGGGCATCCATTTTTAGGACAGGCCTGATAATAAGGGAGGCGCTACCGCCACACTAACCAGGCCTCGTCCGCACCGGCCCCTGCTCATGCCACATCCTACTACCGACCTTAGAAGGTAAAGATCACGAACGCGATGAGGTGCTTGTTGTGGCGGTACTGCCTCAACATCAACCGACAACTATATTGTAATCTCCGTTAAAAAGCGATATGGCGTTACATGATTGAGGTGAGTGGTTACTATTCATATGTCAATACAGGTAGTGCAGCTTAACAGGAGTATAGGTCATCTCGCGGCATACATGACGGACCCGGAATTGCAGGCTGGTTTTCGCAGCACATACAAGGAAGGACCATTCACCTGCCAGCATAACCAGACAGTCAATCAATACTTGTTAATTCATGGTAGTGAAGCTTGACCTATCCTCAAAGAAGCATTGTTCTAAATCGGCATTCAAGCGGCACCGTGTAATGTAATAATGACGACTATAAACTCTAAAGCCCCGCCTGTTATTATCACAACGGTGAATATACCTCTATCATCCCTTTTATTATTCTTAAGATAAGTTCCTTAATGTGAAGCCCATCATGTCACCTCGCTGGTTCGGACAGGAAGAAGTCAGCCCAGGCATCGTCATTGAACTCGAAAAGCGATGGCGCGTTCTTAGCCAGAAGGAGGAGCATCAGTTTCAGGGCAGCGAACAAGACGATCCTCGGTGGAGTGGGCCATCGTACGCTTGCATTCAGCTCAAGGTAAAACAAGTGGGCTCTAGGATCACTCCGCCAGTAAATGGATACATGAGAATCTACAAGCAAATTCCTACGGAGGAGACAGTAGCTGACCGGCCCGAAATCCGGGCACAGCAAGCTAAAATTGTTGTTCCACCTGAACTTCGAGCTTACCGCCAGCTAATGGACAAGGACTCAACCTTTACACCACGGCTGTTAGATTCGATGGAACAGAAGCAAGGCATTTATAGCTTTGTGCTGGGGGGTTATGTGGTATGGATTGTTACGGAAGAGGTCCCAGGCATTCGTTTGGGAAATAGTATCGGCAATGAGACCTTCTGGGTTATGAAACCGTGTGTGCGTGATGAAATCCGTCTTTCTTTCAAAGAGGCCTATTTGTAAGCTCTTCTCTTAATATTTTAATATTCTATCAACTACTACATCTATTCCAAGACAACCACTAACAGATCTCTCAAGGTAATTGCATGAATGGGGGTGGATTCCCTTATATGATCGCTGTAGTAATCTTGTCTGGGACGAAAACTCCTCGACTGTGTAAGTTAAATCAGTTCCTAACTCATGCTACGTTTATTCAAGCTAACAAGTTCTATCTTAGCTTCTTCGTCAATTGGTTCCAGGCAGTTAAATTAATCACACCCCAGGCCTGGACTGACCTCCGTTATGCTGGTTCTGGACTTGCTAAACTTCCTGATACTGGTACTCAAGACTTTCGGTACTCATATTCAGGTTTCAATGGGAACACAGAGGGTTGGGAATGGTAATATAATCAATTCTCAGACAGGGAGTCAACGGTGTATACCTAGTCGTGAGGTATTGGGGTCTTAAGCCTGGGTTGTCCATCTCAAAGGTAGCATAGCCGACAAATGGATTCGTGGAGGCGACGGTGTGGATGATATTTGAAACAAAGGCGTAAGCAAAACGATAGGATTCTCATGCAATAGAAGCAGAGAATACAATGAGAATTTCTTTACTACGAAAGAGTTTATCTTCGCAAACGTTTGGCCGCTGCTGATATTTATCATATGGAGCTTCATTAGTGAAAGCGGCAAGGTCTAAATCTAGGCGAGACGATTTTTCGAAGTCTATATATAGCCATTTACAGATAGCTCTCCTGTCGCGGCGATTTCAATGTCTCGTTCGCAATGTGGAAGGTGCGAAAACAGACGGGGTTATCGTCGTCAACCAGCCGAACAGTCAGTGCCCGACTGAGGGATTCCCTGTTAAATGGACCCTGAATTGGGAATGTATTTCCCCTGGCGGCGTTCACGACGAGTCAAGGAAATCGAAGTATGCGGTGTCTGCATGCAATGTGCCGGACCTACTCCGTTTCTGGAGGTCGAAGTCGGCAGCGAAGGATTCCTTGAGATCAGGGTCCATCTGAAGCGGGTAGGTGCGTGATTCTGTGAATTATTGCTCACCCAGGTCTTGGGCCTCATGTCCATCATCAGATAGCTCATTCGCAATTGTATCATTTGCATCGCAGGCTGATATGCTGTCGCTGCGGCAACTTGACCCTCGTATAGCATGGCTGTTCTCAACAGAGGTCTGGTCGGTAGGATTGGAAGCGTCAACGTCGACACCGGACAAGTCCTCTGGTGTCTCAATGGAGACCATACCAGCCCTATCTAGGATAACAGAAACGAACTCCACCGGCGCCTGTAGAATAGTTTTCATTAGAGTTAGTGCCTTCTCGCTGTACGGTTCAAATAATGCCGTAGATGGCTCCGTCAGAATCCACTCCAAGAGATCTTTGTGTATTCTGTCCAGGAAGCAGATGTACTGGGCTTTCCGATCCCGTGGCACATAGATGTGAAGCCCATCCGTTATTTCTTCGATATTTATCTCGCCGTCCGCGACCTTGACTTTGAGGTCCTTCCCATCCTGCTGTAGATGTAGTTCAGAGGTGATTCCATCGGTTTCGCGAACATCGACGTTCTTCAGTAAGTCGTAAAACGCTCGTTCTCCGTCCACCAGTCGTGGGCTCTTATAATGTACGGCAATTCTGGTATCGATCTTAATGAGTTTACACATCCTTGCAATCCCATCGATGGAGCTCACCGCAGTAGCCCGTAAGCCTTCTGAGATATCTTTCGATCTGGAGACGTCAGCGACCTGTAAGAGTCGCCCGTATAAGAGGAAATCTCCTTCACACAAGACGAGATATAGCGTGTCTCAATTTTAGCCCATTCGATGAAAGACTCTAGCTGCAATACCTCTTCAGTACTAAAGTCAAGAAACAGGGCTTTGTCGAAGAAATATTGTGACAGATGTTTTCGGTCAGATATGGTGAAGTCAACTGTAGAGCTGCGCAGCTCTACGACACCGTTGGGATACCTCACTGGGAACACTCTACTTTCGAGTAGGCTTGTTGAGCTAGGAGGATCTTCCTCACTCTGTAGGTACGAGTTCAGAAGCCAGATAGTATCTTTGACCTCGTTGATAGGTGTCATCGCGCGTCCCTGCTCAAGAAGCTTGCTGTACACCATTTCCGCTGTCAATGTCTGAACACCTAGTAGCTCGACAAAGAAGTCTTGTAGGTCTTTGTAGAGGTCTTTGAGCGTTACGATCCCTCTGGTATTGGTGACAGTCGAGCACAAACATTGCGATGGACTATGCCAACCACCCGTGGCTTTCCCGTTACTATAAATAAGTTTCCTTAGTTCGAAGCGCCGCCTAGAAGCTGTAAGTTTCACTGCCATCGGGCCGCGATATAGATGACTTACCGGACTTTTTCTGTAGTCTCCTTGTTCATCTTCGGGCGGCACTTATCTATTTCTCTGTACATGATTAGGATTCTGTCGATATTGTCGCAGCCCTCTACAGATAAGGATTGCAGCTCGTTCAGTAAGTCCTTCAACCCAACGTTTGGTATACCTAGCGTGTTTTGAAAGAGCTTGGCAAGACAATTTCCATGCTTCACGTCGTTGTACTTCCGTCTTAGAGGGATTTTGCATTCCATGGATTGGGGCGCTTCCCACAAGCAATTGTCTGAGGACTCCCAATACGGCCCTCCTTCATCATCCATGTTTGGTACGTGAATGAGGTTTTTAGAAGCGAAAGCAGTCCTAAGTAGACAATCAACATATCGAAAACCCCTCGAATGCACTTATACTATACCGAAGAATTGAACGATAAGAGTCTGGTGTTGAGGACTCACTGTACTGAGCCTGGATGCGTGCATACAGATCGTAGACACGCTCGATCTCATCGGGTGTTGTATGGTTACCATCACTAGATTCCTTGATAGACTGTAGAGCTCGCAGGTAGGCTTCCAACTCAGATTTTGGATAGCCGAAACCCAATGCTTTAGCCATATCGTTCAGTTCAGGAAGCCAGGAACTATCAGTTTTAAGCCATGGGAAATCATCTTCATCCCGAAGAAATTTTCTGAGGTATGAAATCTCAGGAATCGGGATATATGTCTCGCCCAAAGAATAGCTTGATCCACTCTCACAGACAACCTTAAGTTTCAACAACTCATCAATCAGTTTGCGTTTTCCCAGGAGAGCAGAATCGAATTTCCAGTTCTTGACCAAGAACCCTACAAATTTCTCAGGATGATGCTCGGCTATGAAGGTACACTCTGGGCTCAACCGGTTGGAATCTGTAATTGGAATGGTGTTGCGGACTTGCAGTGACTCTGACAACCACGTCATCCATGTCCGGCGTTCCCCAATTGGCTTTATAGGGAGGGGTTCCATATAGCGGCTATGTAGGATGTAAACGCCCGGCCTTGAACTCTTCCCGGACCCGTAAGGTTTCGTCGGCGTGAGTAGTTGCTCGGCACTGTACAGGTCCTTTCCAGGAAAGTAAAAGGTATGTGAATCCGGCTCCCGGTATCTGTTCTGCTGGTCTATGAGATCCATGTCGCTGTAGAAATGCGCAGAATCAATTCGGCGGTCAAGATGGGCCGTAAGGTAGAGAAATTCCAGCTGTGCTCGAGACTCGTCGAGGTCAACCGTTTTGTTGTAACTGGTACGGATAACAGCGTCTCGAACCCGAGATACCTTCGGATTCTTAACACCAAGTTGACTGAACAGTCTTTCTCGGTCGGGGTTCTTCTCAGCTCGCGGGTCTACCAAAGGCATGTTCACTTCGGGGATGAGGTAACCGTTACAGTGAGAATGGTAGATGCGATGGGTCTTTATGGAGGTTGAAGATCTCCATTCGCCGTTAGTCAGGGGGATAATAGCAAGCGCAGACACCGATTTGGGCCTCTCCTGGTAGGCTGACATCAGGAGCTTAGCCACACGCGAATGCCAATCATCATCAACACTGAATGATCTTATCAGTGAGTCGTCGCGGCTAAGATCCTGGCGAACCCTTTCCAGGAACCCATAATTGCTCAAATAAACAAGGCCGTACCCCATCAACAATTTCAAGTCTCTTGGACGATACTTAGCGGAGAGACACTGTTCGGGCTTCAAGTCTGGCAACAGAGGATCTCCATTACTATCGAGCATACTAGAAGGTAGTCTTCGCGTACGTATGATAGGGTGCAGTGCGCTATGAGTTCTTGTCCAAAGAACATCAGACATATTTAGGTGAGCATGGATATGGGCACTCAGTTCTTGCGAAAATGAACCACTGGAGAGCTCATCGCGTCTTGGGAGGTATTTCATCCATTGATACTGTAAGGTTGGGTGTTGGCAAAATTCCTGCACTGCTGTAGCAAGCACCAGGCCTACATAACTGAGTAAAGTGGTATTCCGGGTTGAGGACAGAGGTATTTCCTGTCTGCTGGCGTCGGTATAAAAATCTGCATGGATCAAAAACTGGAGCAAATTAGTGATGCCCTTGGATGTTTAGCCGGAGTGTCTCACTGGAAGCCCCATTTTTCGTATCGGGAGAAAAGCATAAAGTAGCTGTTCTTCAATGATGGGAATAGAGGTTCCAGTCAATGGGAATGCGAGAATGACGTCGGACTTTGTAGAAGCCTCTGGGCACTTTCTGTACTCGCTTACGGGAAGATTGTCGAACGTGATTTTGGTAACATGGTAGTGTCGAGTATCCACATGGATATGACCGTTCTCCCTTTTTTCATCCACGAGTTTACCCCGAGACTTGGACAGGTATTCCAGTGAATAGAGCGTAGTACACACTTCCTTGCTTTCGTCATCATAAAAGGCAACGTTGATTCTTTCAATGTTTTTCAAAAACAGAAGAAAGGTCGCCTGAAGCTCTTGGAACTGCTGGCGGGTCGTCTCGCGTTGTTTGGCAAGGATTTCTTCTGGGCCCGTCTCGTGCAAGAACAACGTAAATCGAGTTATGTCATTTGGTACCTCCTCTTCCCTTTCCTGCCAGATGGGTGAAATCATCCCCATTCCCGAGTCGCCAATCCTGTGCTGTAAATAGAATGAAAGTTTTCCCGACTGGATGAGAACTTTCCACGCGACCATGAATACCGACTTAAAGCCAATGTCTTTGTCTCCAATATATCCTTGGACGCTAGTTTTTGAGCTGTTTCCGATATTGCAGATCGCGATCAGATCCTCTGGCGTGAAGCCATCCTCATTACATTCGAGAACAATCTGTCGCGGGTAGACGCGAAATGAAACGTAGGGTGCTTCCGAACGGGATTTGGCCTTAGAGTAACTGTTATCATCGGCATTCTGTAACAGCTCGAACACAAACCGAGCGCTACTATTATAGACGTCTTTGGCTAATCTTGGATGCAAGTCATATGAGCGGTTTTTCCATTATGAGAGTCTCGGGGGTCAGGAATCAAAATTCATACGTCAACACAGAAGACCCTATTATCTCGTCTTTCTTCAGCATTGCTTCCTCGACCTCTCGACGGGTATCCTGGTCCATCCGTCCCAGTATTTCCTCACTCAGATAACCACGGCCTCTAGCAATGCTCCTAACGAGCTCACGGGCGCTTTCGCGGGATTCCATTGTTCACAAAGTCTGGTACGATGGATTATGTTCGAACAGTTAAGCTCTGCATTCAGCGATTGCCCTCAAATGGACACGATTTCGGTTGAGGGTCTGATACACGGCTCGGTACTGGGGGAGGGGGGTTAATTCCCAGATCTGGGACTAGAGGGCACTTATGTACCTTGACACGAACTACCAACCATTCTACCGCCATGAATCGACCGACTGCTCTTAACCCCGCTCCCAAAGCCTTAGTAGTTCCTTCACCCCTGACACGGGCCACCTATCAGCTTTGCACAGTACTCCACATCTATCTTGATCGTCCTCGAGCCAACAGCTCATTGGGTAATCCACGTGATTGTACTGACATTAGTCTAGTGACCAATAATAGGTCAATTCCAACGGACCAAGACTAATGGGCCGTTCATGTTAATCATTACGAACTTTTGAGACACAAGACAGTAATTCCGCTTACCTCCGGTCTCCCGAATCGGGTAAATCGCGAGGCTGAGCTACCACCTTCCTTATGGCTGGCGGCCCTCTTCCTCGTCTCCGCCGCTCGACTGCAGGCATTGCCGCCATCATAATGGTTGACGTTTTCGCTTTTAACGACTCACACTGATGTGAGCTTTTCCTGTCATTGACGAATCTCTCGCCGATGTCGGCCTTTCTAGACATTATGACCGAAGTCGGAGCACCGCTCCAACATGGTTTTGGAGGGCATCAGCTTTCGAATGAGACTGGTGTGAAGCTCTCTGACTTTGTGACCTATCTTGCTGCTGTTTCGTGCACACATAAGCATGGCAGTTAATTTGCAGGCACGCCATAGGAGCGAGGCCATCGTTGTCACCTCCGCGAATGTGGTACTCGAACCGTTTTGAGCCGGAATATTCGTTTCCAGACACAAACGGATTCCATGATCCCAGCATGATAGTCGAATATCACACTCCCACATGAAGCAGGCATATGGCCATCTGTGTCACTCTAAGCGGCAGCGTGACAGAAGCTGCACCGTAATATCTCAACGTGCCCTGCTTGAAATAGAGCATGCTTTGGCAAACCATTCTATGGAAGGCAACTGTTTGCTGGTGACAATTCTCAATTCCAGATACGTTAAGGCAGATACGTATTGTGTCCGTAAAAAGCGCCGGATTTGATGACAACAGGTGTGCTATCTGACTGAAGGACACTGCACGAAAGGCCCACAAATGTGTCATTGCTGTGGCGACTGGGAGGCTGTAGAACCACAAAGACCCCGCTACCGCGCTACTAGACCTTGGCGAGGATGGGCATGACGTTATTGGCCAACACAGAGGGCCATTTATCGTAGCTTGCAGAGACCGTTCCCACTTGTCAAGCTCCTGCAGAGTATTTATCAACTCCGCAATGACTCCTTCACACAGGGGTCCCCTCTCGTTGAGGGGGAGGGAATCTGTAGTCTGGACTCTTCGTAAGACAGATGGTAGGATAGAACCGTGACTCAATAGCGTTTGCAATGGCGATGGTTCATGAAATGCGAAAGGTATTGTCTGCCACTCGACCGAAGAAAGGAAAGTGTCTTGGCGGGAGATGCACGCCTCCAGTATCTACTTGTATATTAGTCTTGATGGATAGAATACGAGTTTGGGAAGGATGTAGCATGCGTACAACTAGGGGCCGGAACCCGATAAAGAGCTGGTGCGCGATCGGTCCAGTAAATGACTCTGGTCCACACATTTCCATCATCCGGCCAATCCCTCTGATATGAGCGATCCAGCCCTCACGGGATGTAGGTACTAACCACTTGCAGATGTCAGAGGCCAATCTTACTCTGGTTGAACAAAACGAAAGTTTTTCCTACCTCGGCTAGACATAAGCACATAATAGCAGCAGCGGATTCATTGCAGCCACCGTCATCTTCAGCGATTTTATTGCTCAAAGAATGCACAGCTTTCGTGTATGACTCGGCACGACAGAGGTCCCATTGACTGCGTCTACGGTCTCTATTTCCTTTGGCTATAATTGAGTAGCCTAAAGTGCGGAGCGACACTGACAGAAGGGTTGTACTTCTGCTTGTGTCCAGAAGCAGAGGGACAGTCTCCAACCAGGGGCTACACAGGGTTGAGAAGTGCTTTTTGGGGCGGCCATATTGCTCCTGACCATTAAAGTAGGGAGTAAAATACTCCGTCACTAAAGCGAAGAATTCTTCATCTGTCGACCATCGAAAAGCCGAAAGATTTAGTATGAGACACCCGGTGGACGATCCGGAAAGTGATAGCGACGCCTCACGTGATATGGGGCTTTCCAGTGGCCCAGAAGAGATGATCTGTTGCCCAGAAGTCTTGGGTGGAAGGAAAGTCACCGCTTCATAGCCCGGGCAGTCTCTCTTGGTTGCTATGCATTGAGAACAGGAAGGACGTTTTCCGTCGCACTAAGGATTACACATTAGCGAATCCTTGTCGCATAATTTCTGATTTAAGTAGCAGAAGAGCTTTGACTGGGTCGGCGTCGGCGACTCACCGAATATTTCCTTTGCCGACAGTTCTGACACACTGAGCGGCTCTTTACTTTCATTTTGCATCTACTGCAGTACGGGGGAAAGGCGGAGGAGCCAGCATGGCGGGAGTGACAGAACCAGGCAGAGAAGCCGAGCCGCGGGTCATGTGGTTGTGAGTTGAGATTCGGCGAATCCCCAGGATTAGCAAGTCTTGGCACCGAATGCTTCTTCTTATGGTTAGCGTGTAGTGTGGGTCTGTGGATCTCGGCAGCTCGGTCGAAGAATCGCCTGCCCTTCTCTCCATTATCATTCGACAACATGGCCCATTTCCGCTCAAAAGAATTCGAAAGAAGATAATTTTGAATTGAGATGATGGAAATGATGACCAAGCATACATCAGGAGCCATTTTGCTCGCAGATATCACAGCGGCAGTTCCGGTTTAGTTGTAGACCAAAGATATATAAATTGCGCGATGTCCCACTGAAAACCCCTCATCAATCCCTAACTTTTCCAATTACTATTTTCTCTATCACCTCGTTCATCCATCCCACTGTTCATTTCTGCTACTAGCAACTATCAAAATGAAGGAAGCACTTGTATTTCGCAAGAATGGGCCCATGGAGGTTAAGATTCACTCCGTGCCTATTCCCAAACCCGGACCGGACGAGGTTCTGATCAAAGTCGTCGTTAGCGGCACAAACCCCAAGGACTGGAAATTCCCTGACTGGATGGACGCATTTGACGGGAAAAACACGGGCGACGATATCGCTGGCTATGTACACGAGGTTGGCCAAAACGTCTCCGAGTTCAGAGTCGGAGACCGTGTGGCTGCCTTCCACGATTATATGACACCGCATGGGAGCTTCGCAGAATACGCCATTGGGAAAGTGCACGCCACATTCCACATCCCACCACATATTTCATTCGAGGAAGCAGCTACAGTGCCCTTGGCTGCATTGACCGCCTCGATCGCACTGTTTGCACGCTTGGGCCTACCTGAACCATGGCTCGGAAACAAATCTTGGGCCACCAAGCCTGCAGGAGGAGTTCTTGTCTACGGTGCTGCGACAGCTGTCGGATCATTCGCGATCAAACTGTTACAGAAAGCAGACATCCATCCTATCATCGGCGTCGCTGGAAGGGGCATGGGTTATGCTAGGAGTTTGATGAACAGTGAAAAGGGTGATGTCGTCATTGACTACCGGGACGGTGAATCTGCGATCGTACGGGGAATCCGAGATGCTATCCCCGCTGGTGAAAGTCTTCAATATGCACTAGACGCGGTCAGCGAAGCATCGAGCTTCCAGGTGGTTGAGAAGGTTCTGGACCAGACATCGGGCGCAGTGTCACTCGTTACGCCGGAGGCACCTGAACATTTATTCAGCACGATACGGGTTGAGTTCAGCAACGTTGGAAGTAGCCACGTGGATGACAAGGATTTTGCTTATGTGTGGTCGCGCATGGTGGGCAGGGGCCTTAGTGAGGGTTGGCTCAAGCCTCATCCCCATGAAGTAACCCCGGGTGGCCTGGAGGGTGTAGAAACCGCTCTTAATAACCTGAAGGCTGGGAAGGCTAGTGCTGTGAAGTATGTCTTGAGGGTTACAGAGGAGTGAAGGAGGGTGAAAAGAGAGTCGTAATTTAACTATAGTCAATCTGAAACCATTATAACTTATCTCTGTCCAAATATGACTGCCGTGACTAAGAGTTACAAGAGGACCCCAAGCGCCTCGCGATATTCAGAACTACTTCAACAGCCAGGTCAATCATCGGACGGGGCATCTACGCAGACTATATCCACAGAGCTCTGAAACGGTAAAAGCGCAAGTAAAACAAGCATTATCCCCGGGAAAATACAATTTGATGAATATATGAGATAATATTAAGCAGCCTTTTTGGGCACCCCAGAGAAATGCTTTGTTGTATACCAGCTCCCCTTTGCGCCTAGGTCTCATGTCACATGCACAGTATTAGCCGGGAAGAGAAATGGAAATATGATACGGGGCGCCATTGTATATGGTTTTGAGCAATCATAAATAGCCACTCGATGTGAAGCAAGGTTGGTTCACCGATTATAACTATGGCAGGTATTGTACAGAGGATCAACTGACAGCCAGTCTGCGTTCTTGGAAACAATACGCCCATCCTTAAGAATAGCCACTAGATGATGCTGTATGCGATCAAGGATAGTAATGTCTTCCAAAGGATTAGACGTCAGGATTAGCATGTCGGCAATGCTCCCGTCTTTAATGCACCCGAGTTTGCCTTCCATTCCCAGATACCGCGCTGCATTCACAGTCGCAGATTTTAAAATCTCCTTCGCGCTTAGAACACTGGACCTAATTGAGAACTCCTGGTTTTGTAGAGGATGCAGGCCAGCCAAGAGGTCGGAACCATAGCATATCATTGCCCCTGCCTTGTGCAAGATTGACAAAGCTTCTAGACCACTATCCAGAACCTGTCGATTCTTCGCCTGGCTGAAATCATCCAGGAACTTGTCAAAGGGTGGCTTGGACATGCCATAATAGGTAACCAGCGTTGGGGTGAAAACAACGCCCAACTTTGCACAATACGCCGCGGTTTCCTCGTCGATGAAATTACCATGCTCGATACCTCGAACACCATTATCAACAGCATGACGAATAGCATCCACAGTGTAGGCATGTGCCGTGACATAGGTCTTGGACTGCCTCGCTGTTGTTGTGATCGCGCGAATCTCTTCCGCAGTAAACTGCAGCATATCAAGCGCATCCGACGGTGTTGCTACACCACCACCACACATGATCTTCAAGAAGTTGGCTCCTTGTCTGAGCTCGTCGCGGGCAGCCTCCAAGCACTCAGGGACACCATTGCATACCCGTGCCAGTGCCGGGCTGTGCCCGCCACAGCACTTATACTCGGACCCCTGATAATTGGCTCGCAAATCGCCGTGTCCACCTGTTTGCGAGAGTGCTTTGCCAGCAATGAATAGCCGTGGACCTGCAACCAAGCCTTCTTCGATGGCTTCGCGGAGGGAGTAGTCGGCACCACCGGTATCGCGGACCGTGGTGAATCCTCGGAGAAGCATCTCGCGTGCAACAAACGTGGATCGATAGGCGATGGTATTTGGACTTGCAGAAAACATATCCTTAAGAGATGAAGAGCCCGGAGTTGCCGTAATGTGCACATGACAGTCGATTAAGCCGGGGCAAATATACTGTCCGTTTAGATCCACCGCATCGGGAGGAGTCGCTACATTGCCAGTCGATACCTCCACGATACGCCCATTTTGGATATGAACGACGGCATCAGGAATAATGTCGCCGGCTTCCACATCCACAACATTGGCGTTGTAGAAGATAATTTCAGGGGCTGCGGCTCGAGGCAACCATGGCTTGCTCGGATTGTTGTTCTTACTCATTGAGTCGGTGGGTAACTGCATGCTGAGATATGTTTGAATTCAGGAATGAGACGCAACGGATAAATTGCAACCTGGTTCATGGAATTCTGGACGGCTTGATTCAGCCTTTTACTTCCTCGTTACTGAATCGCGGATTTCTATCCCGACTGTGTATTGAATCACTTAATCTCTCGGTTACGACGACGGGAATGTTGAATCATACCCCTCATCTGTGTGCGGGGAAACACTGATAGCGGAATTGATACTGCCAACCGAGGCTAGCTCGACTTATAGTCGGCCGAGGATAACAACAGTAAGCGATATGAGACGGCGTAGCTACTGACATTCTTGGCGTTTTGATAACGCATAAGTCTGGCAACTGTAGATGGGGTGTCCCTCCTCATGTCGAGCCAAGTCATATCATTTTAGTGGCCCTTAATTTTACTTCCTATATGCACGAATATGTCAAGCCATAACTCGTGAATATCGATAGTAATGCCAATTAGTATCCTCAGTATGACACGGCGGAATCCCGAATGGTGTTGTAGAGGCATATACGCCGTGTTAAAAAGCAATGCAAGTGGAATTCAATACTACCTTACTCCGATTGCCATTCACCCCAAAACATGATAGGCTGTGGTTTTACATAGCCGGAAAAGAATTGATCAGATGTGCATGATAAGAATAATATATTGCTCAGTTTCTAAGAAAGAAATGAAATGCTCTAGACTTGTACAGTCACACATTGATATCTGGGCTTTGGCATGATATAGCCTTTCACGCTGTGATCTTCTCAACTAGTAGCTCTTGCATAGTGTCAGCTACTATCATGACGGTGTAACCTTTGGAGCAGCATTTGCTTAGGCGGGTTCTGAGTCAGAATCTTCATCACAAAAGCTGTGCTCTCGGTCTTCACCAGACCTGCAAGCTAGCAATATCTTTATCAACTGCAGATACCCCATTAAGGTACCGCGGAGAATATCCGAGCGCCAACTCTGTCATGCAGTTGCAGAAACTCGACACGAACTCTCATTTGCCGAGAAGTTATCATATCTCAGTGCTCGGAGATTTACCCCGCATGCCACGAACAAGGAATGTACAACGCACTGGGTGACAACAAAACTGCACTGGCCCTGCATAACCGGGAAGGTAATTTCCACTTCAACGGTCATACCACGCTCACTACATTACTACAAGAGTTACCTTCGACACTAATGATGGAATTCGAACTTAAGACGGCAGACCCGGATGCAACGAAAGATGTTAACATCGATGTCGGGACAATCCAGTTACATTTTACAGCGGAGGAAGAAAAACGCGTAGTGAGGAAGATCGATTGTTTCATTCTACCATTGGTTCGTGATCCTTTCCTGTAATCTCGATTCGATGCTAACTGCGACTTCTAAGATGTGCTTGGTGTTTTTCTTTCAATGTACGTAGCCGGCTGAAGATTTGAGGTCTGCCCTGGCTGACATCCCAGACCTCGACAAGCAGAGTCTTAGCTACGCGTCGGTATTCGGGCTTATTGATGATCTGTCTCTGGAGGGGTCTGAGTATTCTTGGTGCTCATCATTATTTTATCTTGGTAAGATATACGGGTATTCTGTTTTAGAAGCAAGAAACTGATGCGTGATGCTCTCTCCAGGTCAGCTAGTTGCAGAGTATCCGTTCATATACTTGATGAGCCGGCTTCCTCTTACAAAGTTCGTCGGTGCAACAATGTAAGTCCGCGGCTAGAATTGACAGATTCGTTGAATTCTTATTCAGGTTCACCGACAGCGTTTTCTGGGGTGCCGTGTGCATGTGCCTTGCGGCGCCAACAAACTTTGCAGGGTTCGGGGCTGTAAGGTTCCTCCTCGGAGTTACGGAAGGGGCTGTCTCTCCAGCATTTGTGACCCTCACTAGCATGTGGTACAGAAAACAGGAACATGCTTCACGAGTAGGGTAAGAAATCAAATCTCAAAAAGCTCTGTTGACCGATACAGTTGACTTACTTCACAAACCAAATGTAGAATCTGGGTGACGATGAA